GTAGGGTTAACCTGTTTCAGTGACCTCGGCATATATAATGGATAGTGTGGTCAACACTATACCTAGCTGCCTTGTTAACGAACTTAAGCAGCCAGTGTTTACAAATTATAGTTTAGGTTAAAACCACAAGAGGCGAAAGGAGATTAGCATTCCATTAGCAATGAATGGCTTCTTGAACCGATTGCTAAGTAAAGGTTTAGTACAGTGGTTATTAACCTTTTTGAAGGTACCGAACCCCACCAGTTTCATATGAGCATTCACCGAACCCTTCTTAATAGTTCTATTGTAGGCATAGACAAAATCCGATTGTGACTCATGCGAGTCTGGTGTGTCTTGACCTCCGCAGAACCCCTGTGACTGACTCACCAAACCCTTGTGGTTCGAACCCAGGTTAAGAACCAGTGGCGTAGTAACAAGTCAAATGCCCATCAGAGGCGACACATACTAGCAGTAGGCAATAACAAGTTTATATCCTGTATCATCAAAAAAAAACCTCATCATATACTTTCTTTCTTCGTTCTTAATTGTAACGAGCCGACCCGCTGCGTATCATACGCCGCTATTTAGTTGTTTTATTTTCTACTTTTCATTCATTCATAATTTGTGAATTCGACAGTACCAATGCTGTGTGTCAACATGTTATAGCCATATTATAGGCCGTTGACTTACATGTAATATTGAATGGGATTTCCCCAAACACAATTAAGTATTACCTGTCAACATGTTATGCGACTATGTACTGTGTGATAAACAATAGAAGAGCGAGTATAACACCACAACATACAGACAAAATAGGCAGGTCTTTTACAGAGGCTGATTTGAAAGTACCTCGACCCTAACCGAAAGGCCTTAACTTTAACCTTGACTCTAAAATCCTGGCCTTATCACTAATCCAAGCGCCCTGCCTTAATCCCAGCCCTAACTGTTATAGCTACAGGTATCTCTATATAAGAAAAAAAATCGATACCTGTAAGTATTATCCTGTTGATGTTTTTACAAGAACCAGAGTTTCTTGCAGGCATCTCTTCATGAAGAAAGTCCATCGCCCCCCCCCCCCTATATACTTTTACCAGTTCGCCCCCCCCCCCCCCCCAGGAAATTAAGTCCCCCCCTCCGAAAATATCAAGCCGCCCCCCCCCCCCCCCACAGTAAAATTAAGTCCGCCCCTCCTCCCCAAAATATCAAGTGCTCCCCCCTCCCCACAGTAAAATTAAATCCGACCCCCCCCCCCACCCCCCAATATCAAGTCCCCCCCCCTCCTCCCCCGGGAAAAAATTCTGAAAGAAACACTGAGAAGAACCCGCTACCAACTATCACCGTTCTTAAAGTTGTGCCGGCTTACAATTAAAACAATGGACTAGATCTACATGACAGACAGTCAAGGCGAATCACCCAATCGGGGTGTCTTGACAAGCTACAGAAATAAAGTCCACCCCCCCCTGTCCCCCACCCGCATGTCACAGCAACTCCAACTTTAATGGCATTAAACGTTAATGTCCGGGCATGGGACAATGGCATGACGAATGGAGCAAAAAAAATGTCGATTTAATTACGGGGACCTGTCACGCGAGTCTTAGTGTGACAGTGTGATCCGGGCGTGACAGGAGCCCATCCACGGGCTGTCGCTGTGGACCCTGTCACCGATCAAACTTTGATTAGCAGGTGAGTACCGCCCGAGGGGGGAGGGGGGATGTCACGTGGGCTGTCACGACATGTGTCCACGTCTCTCACCCGCGACCGGTGAATTATTAAATCCTCATCTTCACCTGAGGACCACCTCCATGATCCTGTTTTAATTTACTCGGCGAAATCCCCCCTCCCCCCCCCCCCCAAATCACCCCTTTTCACGCCCATTTCTTGCATTTGTTTCTGTTTCATCATTCTTTTTTTTTTTTTTTTTTGCATTTGACGAATCGAAAATATTCATGTTATTTATCAGAGTTCAAATTGTGTATTCAAATGTATCGGTAATTCGGAAAAAGGTAAGTCCATTTTCTTTAACACTCTTCCTATTATTTTACTATTTTTGAGTGAATTAGCCGAAAGTTATTTTATGATAAATGACATTTGATTGATTCCCTTATTTTTCCACTCTAATTGATGCAGGAAGGCCATGTTGAATTTGTTGCAACTTTCAATACGACAATCCACCAATGTTTGTTACACAAAGACAATTTGATGATGTAGGCCTACTTTATGTTGGCGTAGCGAGGTCGGGCGTAGGTCACCCGGTGCGGCGCTTAATGGTATCAGCCCCCCCCCCCCCCCCCCCCCAGAGGCGTAGAGACCCTTTCCGGGGACAAACTTTCAAATTTTCGATTTGCAACCCCCCCCCCCTCAAATTTTCGATTTGCACGCACCCGTCGAACTTTCGATTTGCCCCCCCCCCCCCGTCAAGTTTTTCTCTAAATATTTTACTATTTTTTGCCTTGGTGTCACCCCCCTAAATGGTGTCACCCGTTCCGGCCGCACCCCCCCCCCCCCTCCTCTCTACGCATCTGTGCTATAAAGGTAAATCACCCTTGGCTACCCATATGGCAATAAAAATCCGTTTGCTAGGTCAGAGTCGTAGCGAGGGCGGGGCGGGGGTGCGGACCGCGCCGGGGGACACCCGACCTAGCGACGCCACTGAGCTAGATGACTGTTTAGCTTAGGTTTCAATGACAGTTGAAGATCGATCGTAGTTTTATCAACATTTTTCGAAAGTGGCTACGAAACGATTCTTGTCAGTGCAAATTTTTGTAAAGGGACAATACCCGATACATATACAATGAGAGAGAACAATTTTTGTAAGGGGACACTACTGAAACAGCTTTTGACATGGGACAAAACTATTTTTGTGACAATAGTGATAAATCTTTGTAAGGAGACATCACCAAAATAACGTTTTAAAGAGGAACGCAAGAATGGTATTTTTTTAAAGGGAGAGCACAACTTGTCACCAGACGGGCAGGGAAATAACTCAACGTCCACTGTTTAATGATACAAAAAAGAAGCCTCTAATCAAAAATGCATTGCTTGCATCATGCAAGGCACGAGAAGTCAAAGACATCCATCTTAAGTGCAAATATCAGTAATGTGATTCGCTGGTGCTGGGCAGGGGGGGGGGGTGCTTCAAGTCATTTCAATATTTGATTTGGTGCGACGTCATACTCGCACAGCACACTGGAGACATTACATAGGCAGTACAGAACTATGGGATAGAACACAGAACTTTGGGATAGAACTATGGGATAGAACTATGGGATAGAACTATGGGATAGAACTATGGGATAGAACATTCAACTATTGGATAGAACCTAGAAATATTGGATAGAACTATGGGAAGGAAAATTGAACTATGGAATAGAACACAGAACTATGGGATAGAACTACGAGATAGAACTATGGGATAGAACACATAACTATGGAATAGAACTACGAGATAGAACTATGGGATAGAACACATAACTATGGGATAGAACTACGAGATAGAACTATGGGATAGAACACACAACTATGGAATAAAACTACGAGATAGAACTATGGGATAGAACACATAACTATGGAATAAAACTACGAGATAGAACTATGGGATAGAACACATAACTATGGAATAGAACTACGAGATAGAACTATGGGATAGAAAATTGAATTATGGAATAGAACACAGAACTATGGGATAGAACACAGAACTATGTGATAGAACTATGGGATAGAATATTGACTATGAGATAGAACATTGAACTATGGGATAGAATTATGGGATAGAACTATGGGATAGAGCTATGGAATAGAACATAGAAGTATAAGATAGAACTAAGGGATAGAACATTGAACTATGGGCTACAACATGGGACCAAAGGGGGATAGAAGTATAATCAGATATAACACAGAAGTATGGGGTATAACATAAAACTATGCGATATAACATAGAACCATGAGATATAACTATGTGATCGAATGTAGAACTATGGGATATAACATAGAACTATGGAATAGAACATAGAATTATGGTGAGGACATAAAAATATCTACCACAAACACAAAAGCTGTAACAACCATACAATCTGTAACTAACAGTAGCCGTTAAATTATGTAAACATAAAAAAAATCACTCGGTGTATGGTAATTGGGGGTGCAATATTTGTTCGGTTTTTATATTTTAAACATATATGTACCTTAACAGTGAACAAATTATTATTGTATTCCGATGTTTAACATTACTTTAAATAGTAAAGGTTCAAAGTACAAAGAAAATTATTTGTTTTTAGTTGGATTTTGAGCCCGCTAATCGCAATGGGGGGGGGGGGGGGGGGGGGGGTGGGGGGTTCTGGCGGCATGGTACTTCGGGTACCTCATTACGCATTACGCGTTTTCCCAAATGTACTTAACAGATCAGTATGGGGGAGGGGGTTCGTCTTCATTCACTACTTTCCGGTCACTTTAGGTCTATTATCTTACCCAGCGTATACCTGTGTGACATGTCGCTCTACACAGTTATGGCCTGTCCCGTTCTGATGGTGGTGTGTGTGGGGGGGGGGGGGGGAAGGGGTGATAAACAACTCAGAGTGAACATAGCGTCAGTTTTTAGATGACTGTTCTAAACATACACATACAATTATACACAAATACTGATTCAGAAATAAATTAAGTTAGTGGTATTATGACAATAAAACTTTTTTTTAACAGAGGGGTTGATGGGGACCCCTAACTCTCCCCCTGCCTACGCCACTGCCTAAATCCCACCCCCCACCTCCACCTAAATTCTACCCCATAAAACCCTACCCCCACCCTAAAGCCCTGTCCACAAAAGCCATATCCCCTAACACAAAACCCTTTAAAACCCTACTCACCCACCCCAAAAAAAACAAACCCCTTTCAAAAACTTCTATGTTCCCGATGACGTATTCCATCCCAGCTTTCACCCCCACCTGTGTTTTTCGCATTGTTATGTCTTGCTCTTTGAGTCACGCCCCATACAAAAAGTCGTGCGCTAAAATTTTACAACAGGTGTGTCGTTATGACATGGCCACGTTGGCTAAACAAAGAAAAACACAATGGAAACATCATACTTCAAAAAAGAATAAACTTTTTTTTTAAATCTGGCCATCATTAATTTGTTTACCTTGTCGGTCTATTAGAAACTTTTTCTTTTCTTTTTTTCACCTTTCGCAGGTAATTTCTTATTGACATTGTTTCGTTACCTAAACAAAGATCATTAGTTTTTATCCTTACCCAAACGTCATCTGCTGACGGACATGCGCAGATTATTGCCGTTTGTCAGCTTCAAAGAGTTAATTGGTTGCAGAAAGAAAAAAAACGACAAATAAATTGCATGGCACCGCAATACCTTCAGTAAGATGAGTTGCTTGTGTCCACAGATTGAATATCGGTGTATGGTTATGCGATATTTTTAATATATAAACATATATGTATATATCTATACATACCAATTAAGGAATACAGAACTTAAGTCTAATCTACCTCTGCCTAAAATCTAAGAAAAAAAAAATGTAGGCCCATGTAATCGGTTAGTGGAGTAGACAGAAGTTTTAGAGTATTAGAGGGTTTAGACCTCCCCCCCCTCCTTTATATAGACTTATATATCGATTCCGAAAAATTAATTTGTCACACGTTATGTTGTAACTTTTGGCGACAGTGCGTTCATATCGCTTTAATTTATGTTATCAAATCAACAATTTTTCGTTGCTAAAATCTTTTTTTTCTCTTTGTTTCCTCCGATAACGTTTACCTTATTCGCCTTTTCTTTCAGGCATCTCTTTTATGAGAACAAACTAAAATGTATTATTTAATGATATCGTCCGAAAATGTTTTCTGAAACGTATCTCTTTGTAGTTTCTGTAACATTTATATTCTTGTTGTAGGTTATATAACTTTGATATTCCCCCCCCCCCCTGTGGTTTCTATAACTTTGAAATTCGCGTTATACTTTCTATAACTTTGAAATTCTCGTTATACTTTCTATAACTTTGAAATTCTCGTTATACTTTCTATAACTTTGAAATTCTCGTTATACTTTCTATACTTTCTCTAATTTTAAAATTCTCCCCTGTGGTTTCTATAACTTTAAAATTCTCCCCTGTGGTTTCTATAACTTTAACATTTCTCTCTGTTCTTTCTATAACTTTGAAATTCTCGTTATGCTTTCTATACTTTCTATAACTTTGAAATTCTCGTTATACTTTCTATACTTTCTATAACTTTGAAATTCTCCCCTGTGGTTTCTATAACTTTGAAATTCTCCCCTGTGGTTTTTATAACTTTGAAATTCTCCCCTGTGGTTTCTATAACTTTGAAATTCTCCCCTGTGGTTTCTATAACTTTGAAATTCTCCCCTGTGGTTTCTATAACTTTGAAATTCTCCCCTGTGGTTTCTATAACTTTGAAATTCTCCCCTGTGGTTTCTATAACTTTAAAATTCTCCCCTGTGGTTTCTATAACTTTGAAATTCTCCCCTGTGGTTTCTATAACTTTGAAATTCTCCCCTGTGGTTTCTATAACTTTGAAATTCTCCCCTGTGGTTTCTATAACTTTGAAATTCTCCCCTGTGGTTTCTATAACTTTGAAATTCTCCCCTGTGGTTTCTATAACTTTGAAATTCTCCCCTGTGGTTTCTATAACTTTGAAATTCTCCCCTGTGGTTTCTATAACTTTGAAATTCTCCCCTGTGGTTTCTATAACTTTGAAATTCTCCCCTGTGGTTTCTATAACTTTGAAATTCTCCCCGCGGATGCCCCCGATGGCTGTGGGTGCACACACGGGCGTCAGGGGGCGAAAGCTGGGGGTAAGATAATTAGTTCAGTCTCTGATTACCTGCCCGCGTTTATGGCCAAATGCCTCACGTACAATTACCTTTGATGCCTAACACATGCCATCTTGCTCTACTGTTTGCCTGATTTGTTGTTTAAATAACCATAAACCCCATCCCAAGCAAACTAGAAAAGAAAAAAAAAATATACTTCGCAATGCTGGTTTGTCAGAGACAATGAAATTGGCTGGAGCTAAGATTCTAGAATTTAAAACCACATCCCCCCTCCTCCCTTAGTTAACTCCCCTTGGGTTTCGTGGAGGGGTCAGGAAGGAGGGCAGGGGGACGCAACCAGGCATGTACATCTTCTGTAAGCGACTTCCGGTTTTTTGATAGGGCAGATAAGACAGGGGAGTGAGCACACGAGAGGCCGCACGTGTAGACCTGACGGCCGCAGGTGGGTCGTTTAAAGCTCTGGGACTCGAGGGTCGTGCAGGATGGGCTGTGTGCGTGTCTAGGTTGGTCTAGGTTGGTCTATGTGCGGGTCTAGGTTGGTCTATGTTGGTCTAGGTTGGTCTAGGGTGGTCTAGGTTGGTCTATGTGCGTGTCTAGGTTGGTCTATGTTGGTCTAGGTTGGTCTAGGGTGGTCTAGGTTGGTCTATGTGCGTGTCTAGGTTGGTCTGTGTGCGTGTCTAGGTTGGTCTGTGTGTGTCTAGGTTGGTCTATGTGTGTGTCTAGGTTGATCTGTGTGTGTTTAGGTATGTCTGTGTGTGTGTCTAGGTTGGTCTATGTGTGTCTCTAGGTTGGTCTGTGTGCGTGTCTAGGTTGGTCTGTGTTCGTCTAGATTGGTCTGTGTGTGTGTCTATGTTGGTCTGTGTGCGTGTCTAGGTTGGTCTATGTGCGTGTCTAGGTTGGTCTATGTGCGTGTCTATGTGCGTGACTAGGTTAGTCTATGTGTGTGTCTAGGTTGGTCTTGGTTGGTCTTGGTTGGTCTATGTGCGTGTCTATGTTGGTTTAGGTTGGTTTATGTGCGTGTCTATGTTCGTGTCTATGTAAGTCTATGTGTGTGTCTAGCTGATCTATGTGCGTATCTAGTTTGGTCTGTGTTCGTGTCTAGGTTAGTCTGTGTGCGTGTCTAGGTTGATCTATGTTTTTCTAGGTTGGTTTATGTGCGTGTCTATGTGCGTGTCTAGATTGGTCTATGTGCGTGTCTAGGTTGATCTGTGTGCTTGTCTAGGTTGATCTATGTTTTTCTAGGTTGGTTAATGTGCGTGTCTATGTGCGTGTCTAGATTGGTCTATGTGCGTGTCTAGGTTGGTCTATGTGGTGGTCTATGTTGGTCAAATTGCGTGTCTATTTTGGTCTATGTGATGGTCTATGTGCGTGTCTACGTTGGTACATGTGCGTGTCTTTGTTTGTCTATGTAGGTTTAATTGCGTCTGTGATGGTCTATGTGTGTTTCTAGGTTGGTCTATGTGGTGGCTTATGATGGTCTATGTTGGTCTAGGTCTATGTGATGGTCTATGTAGGTCGGTCTATGTAAATATGAAAACGCTGGTCCATTCTGATCCAGATTCTCTCCAACCTTGTGCTAATAAAAAATAATAATAACAATACGAGTATTGTTGTGTGTACATCAGACAAATATTTTATCAATGTTGCTATTTAAAAACGTACCACAAACTCCAACAACAAAAAATATATAAAGAAAACAAATCAATGACCAGTTATATCAAATTAAAATAGCATTTTCCTAAAACACAAATTGAAAAATAAATAATTCTAATTAAAGTTTGGCTTGGGGCACTTCCTGTTTTAAAGTTTCCAGGAAATAATGAAACCAAAACAACTGCTACGTCACATTAACAACTTCCGGAAGGTCATCGAAAATTACGTTATCCCATCCCTTGTTTGTCTCGCGTTTTTTTTTTCAATCAACAAGCCTCCGTGGCCTGCCTTATTAAAATTAAAACAACAATCATATACGATTTGCATCGAGAAATGGGACCCTAACTAAACACAACAGCGGACACATCAGAAGAGGAAAAAGTAAAAGACTGTCAAAATTAAGCTCTCATTAATTTTACCTTCCGAGAATCAAACTGTGTTTAATCGTAGAGCCAAGCCAAACTTTACAATGCTTGCGGTAGGGGTGGTTGGGTATGGGGTATGTGGGCGCGGTAGGGTGTCACTATAAACATTTATAGATGTCTTTTTTATATAACACATCATTAATATCATTATTTTCAATAAATCTTTTAATTATTAAAAAAAAACTGTCTTAATATATTTCGCAGAAGAAAGCCTTATTTATTTTAAGAAATATTATCGCAGTTACACAAAATTATTTATTTATTTATTATCATGGATTGTGAATCACATAAATGGTTTAAAGTCTCTAAAGATCCTACTGATTGTTTATTCTTTTTTTTTTATTCTTAATTTTTTTTAAGGAAAAAAAAATGCCACATGTCTCATTTCACGAGGACCCCCGCCACACACACACGGAATTCAAAATCGGTCATTTTTTTGGTCAATCTCAAACCTTCAGGCTAAAATGAACCAGAACTCAAAGTAGTTAATTCTTTTCAAAAACTTCAATGATTAAAAAATGTTCGAATAAAAGTATGTTGATGTTCTTTTAAAAATAAAAAAAAAAAACCTCAAGTGCACTGTTTTACTTTGATGTGTAGAGATTATTTATGAATTATACGTCACTTATAATTGGTCCCTTACCTCACCTGCTTATACATGTCACCCATAGGATTTATTTATTTTTTTGAGGGGGGGGGGGGGGGGGGTCACAGAAGATTAAAAGTTGAGACTTAAATTATACTTAATGTTACTTTTTCACAGGGCTAAAGATAAAAAAAAAATAACGTGTCCTGTGGGCAGAGGTAGCCGGGACGTAAATATTGCCCCGACGCGCGCGTGTGTGCTCACACGTGACTTTGAGTTACCCGAGATAATGATTAACGACTCACCACCGCGCCTAGTTGATGCTCTGAGACAGAAGATAAAAAAAACGGCTTCTGGAAATTAGTTTACTTACAAGAAGAGAGGGAGGGGGGAGGGGGACGACCAAATGTGTCGTATGATGTTTGGCTTAGAACTTTTTCGTGCATTCACCGCGGGTCAGAGCAGGTTCGGGCTGAATAAAAAAAAAAGAAGGGGAGAGCATCGAGCGAGCAGCGAGGTGAACACAGGACATTGAGAGTTGCGGTATGTCAAGACACACCAAGGGCCGATAACTGATGAGGCCAAGTGACTACACTGATAACAGAATAGATCGGCCGAAGGGAGACAATGTTGAAAGTAGCGAAGAGGGGGAAGGGGAGGGAATCAACTGATAGGCATGAGCACGAGCAAAGCCATTGAAGAGCAGACGTTAGGTGACGGCTAAGAATAACATACGCCATTTTTTTTGTGTTTCACTTTGTGGTTTTCTTATATAAAATGGCGAACATCTGTTTTGGTTTGTCGAATGCCATTACCTTCATTTACCCCTCCCCTTCCCACACCCACCCTTTCTCACTCACACACACACACACCACCCCCACGCACTTGTGACAATACCAGCCCTAAGGTGTTATCGTAGGAGTAGTCAGGGAGGATTAGGTGGGGGAGGGGGGTGAAGGAAGGGTCAGAACCAAATTTACTTTAATAAACAGCTATGGACATACTATGCTTGTGTCTTCAAATGCTCACAGTTTCAAAATTGTAAGTTAAATTTAAGGGCAATTATTAGTTTTCAAATCATTATAGAATTTGTATAAACCTGTATGAATATCAGCACAAACAGATATTCAAAAGCATCACATACAGATGTAAAAAATATATCACACACAATCTGATATATAATTATTGCACAAATCAGGTATATAACTATCACATAAATATGTATACAAATATCACACACAAATTAGGTATACAATTATCACAAACAGGTATACAAATATCACACACAAATTAGGTATATAATTATCACAAAAAGGTATACAAATATCACAAACAGGTATACAAATATCACACACAAATTAGGTATACAATTATCACACACAAATTAGGTATACAAATATCACACACAAATTAGGTATACAATTATCACAAACAGGTATAAACATATCACATATACAAACATCCAACAAAAAAGAATACAAATTATCCTAAACAGGTACGTATTTATCTTACACACAAACTAGAATCCAAACATCTCCCAAACAGGTATACAAATGTCCCACACAGAACTATACAATGTCATTCTTCAAACACAAAGTAATGACGACTTGAGACCCAACTACTGCAATAGTTAACAATACTTTAATTCATCAATCATAAGTATAAACAAGAAGATCAATACAAGCCAGATTTCAGCCACACACGATTCCAAACTGATACAAACTGAAACATCCTTCTTGGCATGCTGCGCCAACTCAAAGAATAAACAACATCATTTTTTAGCTTTTTACACAGTAAATAACAACATAATAGCATTTTAGTTAGCAAATTGTAGTGCATACAAAACAGTTTAGCATTAAAAATTAAATTTATATAGAAAATAAGCATTTCTTAATGTTAATTTATGATAATTAATGACAAACCTGTACAGACTTTATATTTCTGCTAAATTAAAATGTGAATAATTTTAATTCAAAGTTGGACTAAATTTTAATTTTTTATCAACAACAAAAAGAATAGTATTACATTTTTTCTTTAATACAAGTTATTGTAACATACAAAAGTCTATTTAGCAGAAAATAAAATGTTGGCCAGCAAAGAACAAGAAATCCTGTGTAACCAAGGTGAAGGGAAGTAATACAAATTCAAGGGAGGTAAATAAATATACCACAAGTAAAATGGCTTAGCATCCAGGAAATTATTTTTAAACAGCTATAGACTGTTCAATATGTATTTTATCTAAAAAAGAATTTATAAATAGCTGATACTTTAGCTAGTTTTAACAATTAATATTTACAGAGAAACTCAAAACTAGGCCAGGCACATTGACAAAAAAAAAAATTGTTAAATTTAAAAATGTTATAAAAACTGAACAATAAAATTGATGAAACAAAACTAAATGAATACCATTGTTAACCTTTGAACTTTGTACACTATAATACAGTCTAGAACAAGATTTGGTCACTATGACTCTGTTTACTTCTCACTGATTGGATGTGACCACTAGCCATAGAAAATAAATAACCAATCAATAAGCTGAGGCCCTGTAGTGAAACATAGAAGCAGGTTTTAACAATAACTGACTCAAGTTAATAAATATTTTTTTTAAGTAGCTCGTTAATATAATTACACATTTTAAAATAATAAGGGCATACATTTTTTTTACACCTTGTTTTCATAATCCTTAATCTCAAAAAACAACTTTCTGAAAGTTCAAACATAAAAAATGTAAACATAATAGTTACAAACGGATGAAAAAAAAAAAAGAACGGTGTAGCTATTAATAGTAAAACACTGTAAGCCAAAAACTATAAACATGACCATTTTATGAATTACAATAATATAGAAATGCAAACTATATTAATGACCATTTTATGAATTACAATAATATAGAAATGCAAACTATATTAATGACCATTTTATGAATTACAATAATATAGAAATGCAAACTATATTAATGACCATTTTATGAATTACAATAATATAGAAATGCAAACTATATTAATGACCATTTTATGAATTACAATAATATAGAAATGCAAACTATATTAATGACCATTTTATGAATTACAATAATATAGAAATGCAAACTATATTAATGACCATTTTATGAATTACAATAATATAGAAATGCAAACTAAATAAATGACCATTTAATTAATTAAAAAAACATAACATTGCAAATTATAAATAGGATGAAAGGAAGCTGACACCAGACACAAACTGGCCAGATTTTAATGCCACTAAAAATAATCAGAACATATTGGTATTTATTGGATGACTAGTAAACAATATTCTTTAATTAAGCAGAAAATAATCAGACACTGCCGTATAAATTTCATTTCTTAAGCAAATAATAATCAGATACTGAAAGTTTAAAAGAATATCATTTTTTAAGCAGAAAATAATTAGACCCTATACATATTTCCAAAGCTCGATATCCAACAATTCTTTCAACATGAAAAAGTTGTATTCACAGATACCATCAACAATGTGATTAGTATCACCATTTAAAGGGTGATGAGTCACCATCAAAAGGGTGACAAGTCACCAATGTAACCAGCAATCAAAAGGGTGACCAGTCACCGCCAACGGTGTGACCCATGTCACCATCAAAAGGGTGACAAGTCACCAATGTGACCAGCCATCAAAAAGGTGACCATCACCATCAACAGTGTGACTGGCTCAGCAGGGTACACTAAAACTGCCCACTGACTAATTAATTAATTGTAATTAATTGTAATGTGTATTGCTTTTGTTGCATAATATCTCAATAAATTATGATCAGATAACCACCATAACACTTCTAACAAGGGAGGCCACTAGCAGCTGTCAACATTTGCTTGAAACAACAACAAAAATACACCACTGCTAAGTCAGGGAACAGGTGGGGATAGAAGAAATAATAATAAATTAAAAGGAATTTTTCAATGTGGCATAAATAAGTTATTGTTATGAAAAAAGACTTCGAGTGTTAAAGCAGTTTCCTTTACATAAGAGTTTGGAATTTAATTCCTATTCACACATTTAAACATCACAAGAACGCATTTAAAAATAAATATGAAAAGAGCAGTATTGATCCTAAACAATTTAACAGAGTTAAATAAAAACATGAATTAAACAAATAGAAAATATTGGTTACATAAAATTGACATCAAAACTTAAAGCCTGAAAACAAAAATTGACATTGAACGCACAAATTACAAAAAAAAATTTTATGCCGCACTTGACAACTTCAAATGCTGCATGAACTATGTTAATTTTCTATTTCAGAAACGCACAATGTCTTGTCCTGCTGGGGAAAAAAAACTAATACTGAAGTGGTATGGGGCTTGCCTCCTCACCCCTAAGTTTGTAAGAGCTTATCCAGCTAGTATCCACACACATCCAGTCCCACCGTACTAAACTAAACATCCACAGTCATTCACTAAATTCCTGCAACTACAATACAGCAATAAATTAGAAGCCACAAGCTGAACATCCCACGTAAAATAAATGTCAACACATGATTTAGAGAGCCGATGACATCACAGACCTAAAATTTAGCAAACAACATTCAGTTTTTTCTGTAAATTAGATCAACATAAACCTCAAAAATTAGCAAACGACATTCCGTTTTTTTCTGTAAATTAAATCAACAGAGACCTAAAAATTTAGCAAACGACATTCCATTTTTTCTGTAAATTGAATCAACAACTTGGCTAATGACACCAAAATAGATCACAGACACTGTAAATAGTTTTCTCCATTTAAACAGTTCATGCCATATATTTTATACCTCAAGCGTATGTCAATGTATTTTTTTTTTAAACTTTCAAAAATTCTACAAGAATTGTTAAAAACTTGATGTCCTTGAGGGCAGATGCAGCAGTGTTTACTTGATTCAGTAGCCTAGGTTGTAGTTAGTTAGTTAGACTGACATCAGCACACTAGGAGAGCTGATACAATACACAACACTTCATCCCAATCTTGTTTTCAGGTTAGCAAGAACATATTTAGCAGTGGTACAAAGAGAGGAATAGGCATTTCATTCATCTGTGTGTTGAGGGGATGGGATAATCATTTTAATATGAGTTTAATGGTAATAATTTTATAAATGCGTTGTATGAACACTATTTAGCATTTTTTTACTGAACATCAAGCAGGTTAATCTATCAGTCTAAAGTACTATAACTTCCATTTAATTCTATGTCTATCAAAGATGTGGATACTTTCTTTTTTCATTGATTAACTTGTATCTACTGTTTACATTTTAAATTGAACTAAAACAGTACAATAAGGCAGTGTAATCTTAAAATCCAAGAAGTATAAATGATCACTTAACAAAAACAACAGCACTTCACAATGTCAACAACTAAAATGTTCTAAAGTGAAGTCATCATGTAATACAAATACATGAAAAAGGCTATTTTAAAGATAGCCCAAAGAAAAATGGCAAGAAATGCCATTTTGGCTTGAAGATATCTGTCAGAAGTTTGATTGAAAACACACTATAAATTGTCAGAAATGTATAGGGAGTTTTGGGAGAGAAAGTTTAATTTAATGTCGTGATTTGTTTTATTTTGAACCAGCTTAATTTTTTTTTGAGATTGCATTTGGATGTGTTTTATTTGAAGCACTTTTAAACTAAAGTTATCATGTATTTTGATAAACTTTCTTTTTAAGGATCTGTAGTTTTTTTGTTGTTTTTTTTTAAAACTACCTTCCAAACAGTAACACGAGTTTTTTAGTTGAAACATTAAATCCATTATAACAATAACAAAAAGGTCTCAACTTTAGTATAGATTGCAGTCAATACAGGATACATTCGAGGGCTGGTGTTAACAGCTCGATTTATTTCATCTGCAACTAAGCTGGAAAGGTAGAAAACTATACTTTGAAAGGGGAGAAAACTATTAACTTTAAGGGGAGAAAACTACAGGCTAAGTAGGTGTAAAAACACTAAACTTTAAAAGGAGAGAATAATATGAGTTGTGGCTGTAAAAAAAAAAAAACTAATTTGAAACAGGGGAGAAAACTATGAGTAGTAACAAGGGAGAAAACTTCAAGTCACCAGGCTGATCAACACTGAAGGTGGTTAGACCAAAGTATCACAGAAAAAAAGTTATATAAGAAACCCCCTCAGCTTGTACCACAGTCAATAAGAACATCAACATGAAATACATAACACACAGAAGAGCATACAACTTTGGAATGGTTTACTTCCCAGTCTCATGGACTCATGAGCTCCAGGGAGATAAGCAAGAATAAAATATTCTCTCCCTTGAAGGAGATGAACTGACTGAATATACAACTGAATACATGACTATTTTGACATGGCTTTGAATTGGTGCTTTGAAAATAATGAACAAAACCCTTTACAGTAGTATATTTGATCTGTCAAGTAAGTTAAATCTTTTCAAACAAATACAATAGTTGTAATAGGGGATCTGTTTATATTTGTAATGAAAAAAAAAATTAATGAAATTTTAACCCCACGTTAAAATCTAGCTATGATTGGCATTTAATGAGATGGTTAAGCTGTAAGGTGAAAAAGCTACAGCAACACTTTCTAATACTGTGGGTCATGGTACACAAATCAGTGAAGAACCCGTTACATCAATTACATTTACTGCTAGAAAATTACAACAGCTGAGTCAGCTTACTTCAAGCCTTGTTCAATTAAACTATTTTTTTTTAACTGTTGTTGAAGGTATTCAGTTCAATACTTATGTGACCATCAGCAGTGGTAAATTAAGAGTCGGGCTGACTGGGATACAGAGAGCAGACCCCAGTTTTTTACGATCCTCAAATTTTCTGCATATTAAATTATTTAACTTATATTTAATCTTAAAAAAACCAGTATGTATCAGTCCAAGGGCCCCATAGAGAAAAAAAATTCAGCAATGGGCACCTTGATTTCGGCAGAATCTACCTCTGATTGTCTAAATTTTTCCACAGCTCACTACAATATTATAACATCCTGTACTGTTGTAATACGCCTTGTTATTTACCCCGGCAAAACAAAAATATATTTACACTTGTAATCTCATTCAGTTGGACGATGCAGTAACAGTACACTGCGGTAAAGTGTGCAGCTGTAAACAGACTGAGATGACCAGGACAGGATATGAAGAAATTTGTTAACGACGCAGCCTAAGCGAGGGCCTAAGGTCATACCATAATCTCATCATCGTCTGTGCTGTTCAAGCCTGGGACCGTGACGTAGCTTGATTCAACAGTCATTGTGTTTGAATACGGGGAGGATTTGATTCCACCCGTTGGAGGTTTTATACTGATGGTGGGGATGGGTTCGGGCAGGCAGGCCTCGCTGGTGTCCTCAAATATGTCCGAGTGGGACTTGTGGAAGGCCAGCACTTTCTTGGCGTAACGTTTGGGCAGCTTTCTACTATGAGGAACAGGCGTACGATGTTTCGTTATATGAGGAAGCGATGGTCGAACAACTGTAAAAAAAAAAAGAAAAATGGGAATAAAATTTCTTGATAATTAGGATCTCGTATTACAATAAAACAAAGGCAATTAATTAATTCCAAGTCATTGCTTAGTAAGAATAAAGCGATTTAGAACTGATATTTGCAAAAGTATTATTTTTCTGCAAGATATTTTTACATTATATTTAATAAAACAGATGGGTTTTTTTTTTAAGTAAACGGAGATAAAACTATCAAAAAGTACATAAAACACAGAGATAAAGAATTTAAATGATGACTTTTTAAATTAAAAAAAAATTTCTATCGACTTCTGCTTTTAACTTAACGGTAGTCGCTAGCATTTATAATGTACAGCCCAGCATTTATAATGTACAGCCCAGCATTTATAATGTACAGCCCAGCATTTATAATGTACAGCCCAGCATTTATAATGTACAGCCCAGTATTTATAATGTACAGCCCAGCATTTATAATGTACAGCCCAGCATTTATAATGTACAGCCCAGCATTTATAATGTACAGCCCAGCATTTATAATGTACAGCCCAGCATTTATAATGTACAGCCCAGCATTTATAATGTACAGCCCAGCATTTATAATGTACAGCCCAGCATTTATAATGTACAGCCCAGCATTTATAATGTACAGCCCAGCATTTATAATGTACAGCCCAGCATTTATAATTTACAGCCCAGCATTTATAATGTACAGCCCAGCATGTATAATTTACAGCCCAGCATTTATAATTTACAGCCCAGCATTTATAATGTACAGCCCAGCATTTATAATTTACAGCCCAGCATTTATAATTTACAGCCCAGCATTTATAATTTACAGCCCAGCATTTATAATTTACAGCCCAGTATTTATAATTTACAGTCCAGCATTTATAATTTACAGTCCAGCATTTATAATTTACAGCCCAGCATTTATAATGTACAGCCCAGCATTTATAATTTACAGTCCAGCATTTATAATGTACAGCCCAGCATTTATAATGTACAGCCCAGCATTTATAATTTACAGCCCAGCATTTATAATTTACAGCCCAGCATTTATAATTTACAGCCCAGCATTTATAATGTACAGCCCAGCATTTATAATGTACAGCCCAGCATTTATAATGTACAGCCCAGCATTTATAATGTACAGCCCAGCATTTATAATGTACAGCCCAGCATTTATAATTTACAGCCCAGCATTTATAATGTACAGCCCAGCATTTATAATGTACAGCCCAGCATTTATAATGTACAGCCCAGCATTTATAATGTACAGCCCAGCATTTATAATGTACAGCCCAGCATTTATAATGTACAGCCCAGCATTTATAATGTACAGCCCAGCATTTATAATGTACAGCCCAGCATTTATAATGTACAGCCCAGCATTTATAATGTACAGCCCAGCATTTATAATGTACAGCCCAGCATTTATAATGTACAGCCCAGCATTTATAATGTACAGCCCAGCATTTATAATGTACAGCCCAGCATTTATAATGTACAGCCCAGCATTTATAATGTACAGCCCAGCATTTATAATTTACAGCCCAGCATTTATAATTTACAGCCCAGCATTTATAATTTACAGCCCAGCATTTATAATGTACAGCCCAGCATTTATAATTTACAGCCCAGCATTTATAATTTACATTTAGCATTTAGCTTCATACAACTGTTTTAGTACAGCAGACTGCACAAAGCGCATTGAAGTGAAAAAAAAGGAGGAAAACATAATTTCCTGCATCTCCCCTACATCTGGATAAAATAAGGACATGGCTAATGCAGGTGTTGGGGGGGGGGGGAGAGGGGAGAATCAAGGCCTGCAGACCCACTAATTACCCACGTTTTGACATTCATTAGCCCATGTTTTCTTCACACCAACCTTGCATGGGCCAACAAGCCTTCCTCTCCTTTAAACAACTCTATCTACCCTATTGAGAACCAGCTATCCTCCCTTCTCTACAACCTGCCCTCTCTTAAGCCAGTTGTGTTTTAAGTAAATAGAACAAATCAGTTAAAAGATTTTAAAACAGTAGGGGGAAAAAAAAGCTATTTTTCTTTGGAAAATAAAAACTACCAGATGCCCTCAATTTATCCCTTATTTCAAAAAGCCTAGAACACAAAATTTCAGACCCTAAAGGATGGTTAAGGTGTAACAAAAACCAATAAGACACCTGTAAGTTTCTAGATATTCACACAAAAATTATTCAATATCTACTTAAGTCAAACTTGTTTCTAAAATGTATTCTCTTATAAAAATATCGACACTGTATGAATAGAAAAAATCAACTGCAAAATGTAGAATTATAAGTCCTCTGCTATGACTTTTAAGATATGGATGGAATACAATTCTATATACAATTCTATATATAGTTTAAAGGACCACAGGCTAAAGCTATTATTACAGATGTAAATTTAAGTTTATTGATCTTCTGATTAATAACCTTTGAGTGTTAAAAAGGGGAAGCAATTTAGATGTTAGTATAGTAATTTAAAAAACGAGCTCAAAAAATAAAAAATAAACTTAGTGTATTTTTTTTTTAATTTGTAATTCTTTAGCCTAGATCTATTCGGTTTTCAAAACCATCAAATTAAAGTTTAATTAAGAAGTAAATGAACAAAATAATATTTCTAGAATATTTTATTACATGCCAACATGTAGAGGGGGTGTAAATGATAATAAATTAAAAAACATTTCAATTCAGTGTTTAAAAAACGCAACAAACATTCTTAAATAGAACTTTGTAATCGTGTAAAACAAAAACTATACAGAAACAGACCATTGGAAACCATCACTATACAAGACGACATAAAGGATGATTAGATGATAAATACATTAAAACTACACAAATATAACTCGTAACCTGACTGGCCATACTCTTGTACAACTGGTATAACAAATAATAATGTCTCCACCCTGGGGAGTTAGGACTAGGATTAGGGCTAGTGTGAATATGAGGGTTAGGCTGGGGGCTACAGATAAGGGTGAAATTTGGGTTAAGGACTAGGGTTAGATTTAGGATCATGGGTTGGGACTAGGGTTGGGTTTTGTGGGTTGAGGTATTGCTACCTTGCTATACCAGCTGTACAAATGTATAGGTATAGCTATTAAATAAGTACCACTGGCTGTCAGTTGATCAACTTCAAGTTATCAACATACATGTTACAACTCTACTAACTGGATAGGTTGGATGGGAAAAAAATAAGAGGCTGAAATAGGTTATTGATCTACGATACCTAGTATACGATATAGTGTACGGATTATTAGACTTCTAATAAAGCATGGTACACATAATAGGTGTTATTGTGTAACTATGAAACATCAGTTCATCACTTCTTACACGACCCTGTTTTAATAGTAACGATCTATCCATATAGCCATATACTGAGCATTAAGTTACAATTAACCTAACGATTCACCAAATTAGCCAAAAAAAATGTGTTACATACACTGTTAAGTTAAGCAGCTACTGATAATGAAACATGTTAAGCTGACTAGAATGGTGGAGGGTAGGGCGGTGGAAGAACTAGATGTTTACCCTAAGCACTACACATCAGACCAGATCCATAATAGTAGATGCCATACCAATAACCACTATCTTCTCCAAATATTCATAACATCTATAAAAAAAATCTTTTCTAAAAAAAAAAAAATTTACTTCCCAAAAAAAAATACAAGTTAGATTTTGAGTTAGTTCTAGGGCTAGGATTAAGCCTGGCTGATGTAAGAGTTAAGGCTACAGTTACTTGCAATGCTAATTCAACATATTGATTTAAATTTAAGCCATTTGATAGGAGTGAAGTATTAAGTGTTAATGTATGTGGTCAGCATCATTACACTTTTCACATGTACTGGCAACAATCTCCACTGACCACCTACGAATTAAAATTACATAAAAACCACTAGCTCTAAAGTTACGTCCCTTTTTCTGAAGCCTTCACTACTCTTGAATGACATGGGAGATAATTTGAATATCGGTGATCTAACCTTCCATCTCTCCACAGCCCTCTCACCATATCTATTACAAGCACCAGCCCATTGGAACATATTAATTAAATATTAATTAGTACACATTCAGTACATCATCTATATGGATAGTCCTTTCCTTGTTACAAATTAATAACTCGAAATTTTAAAAATATTTATAGTCATCTAAAAGGAGTTTATAAATGGAGCTTGAACTTTGTGTTTAGAATTCTAAATTTTGCTTGTTACAAATCACAAATAAAAACTAGTTTACTTAAATATAAACTTTGTTAAGTAGCATTTAGTTAATTAAGAAGAACATGATAGTTCAATATCTAAAATAAACAGCTTCTATTTAAAAAGAAGGGTAAAAAAAAAACATTGGTATCCAGTTAAATTTCAGCATTAAGTAGATAAAAATGTGTCAGTAATTTTTGACCATATGCAACAAACACAAAGCCCTTTCATATAAACATGTATTGAACTTGTAAAAAAAAAAAAAAATAAGCCTTGAGTGTAAATGAGAAACATTTGAGGTTTCAATTACCTTTCCTGTAGATAAGCTAAAGAAAAGGAAAATGATCATTAATGATGAGACCTTCTAGAATAGATCAATGGGATGTCTGGTGATTCAATGCTTTCACATCTTCATGGTGATTTCAGTGAGAGATATCTTAAGTCTTATCATGAGGACACAGATATTCATCATAACTATCAATGGCTTAATATTTAATATCATGGGGGGAAAAATTGATTTTTCTATATATATAGTTTATATAAAAAAATTTAGGTTAATTATAAATAATTTTTTAAAAACAGAAAACTTTATGTAAAAATGAGTTGTTTTTTTTAAATGAGTCAATAAAAAAAGAAGTGACAGTTTGAATGATTATAGTAATATCAACACAAGAAGTCAACAATAAATTAAAAGGAGCGGAGATAATGCAACCATAAAACAAAAACAAAAAATTACAAAAAATTGTTTTATAACCATCAAGCACACACATATGGTTAGCTAATTTTCAAATTTAGGCTTCTAAATAATAATAATAAATTTTAAAAAAAAATAACTGAAATAAAAAGGTTAGCAATAATGTGTGTCAAATTGTAAAGATACAACAAGGCAGTAGCCATAGACACAAGTTACAACCACCCCTGAGATGTAATGGTATTTCATACGTGCCAGTTTGCTTAAACAGCCCTCTCCTAACCCCATACGTACAGGCATAGCAGGCCTAAATGACGTACAATCAGCGACCACCTGTCACAGCTACAAGAACTGGCATAGGAGTTAGCGTCACGCAACAACACAGATGAGGAAAGCGATCGAGCCTTACCAGGGAGGTCAAAGTTGACAGCGTACTCCTCGTTCATCTTGTCGCTGTCGGCGTCCACCTCGTCACCTGACAGGACATCCTCGTCACTGCTGGCCTGTCTGGTCTCCAGCATTGGCAGCTTGTATGTCAGCTTGTCCCTGGGGATGGACATACATCACAATATAGTCAGTCACTTCACAATACAAGCCTTATATTATAGTCTACCTAACTCAACACTGTAGACTTTATTGTAAAGTACATGGTGATGGACATACATCACAATATAGTCGGTTACTTCACAATACAAGCCTTATATTATAGTCTACAATAAAGTCTACAGTGTTGAGTAAGGTTAGTACCTGGTGATGGACATACTTCACAATATAGTCGGTCAATTCACAATACAAGCCTTATATTATAGTCTACCTTACTCAACACTGTAGACTTTATTGTAAAGTACATGGTGATGGACTTACTTCACAATATAGTCAGTTACTTCACAATACAAGCCTTATATTATAGTCTACCTTACTCAATACTGTAGACTTTATTGTTAAGTAGTTCACTTTTTAATTTTTAACATAGAAGAACAGCCCATAGAAGAAAATGGTAAGAGGCTAATCCTCATTGGTAAAATAATAAAAAATAAACTACTTGTGTTTGGATCTGAAAATGAATAGGGCAGATGAAATACAGCTAATCTGTTTAATGGGCTTGATAAATATAAAGGACTGTATTGCTATTCCCAGCTGCCTTTTCTTTGCCTCAACTTAGGTCGGGTACCCAAAATAGCTGGGTGAGCACAGGGAAATCTTATTTTCTAAAGCCAAGAACAGAACTTCAGACTATGGATTAGCTTTCACATTCTACCCCTTGACCACAATATTCCATATCTTGTAGGCAATATTCAAACAATTGTTGACTTTCCTCCCAACGCAAACACTACTAAAGAAGACACACATGTGTACAAACTCACTTCTCCTTGTGAATGGAGGCTAAGTGACGGGATAAAACTCTTTCCTCCTCCTTCAGCTCTAGCTCCTCTTCCTCCTCTTCTTTTTCCTCAATGACTTGATCTATTTCTTCATCCTGGAGTTTGACTGATGGCTGTTTGACTGGGCTGCTCATGGGGGATTTCTGGTCATACACATCATAAAATATCTTTAACTATTCACATGATGTGTAACTATTTAAATAATGTGTAACTATTTACATGATGTGTAACTATTGACATGAGGTGTAACTATTTACATGATGTGTAACTATTTACATGAGGTGTTTTACATGATGTGTAATTATTTATATTTGAATAATGTCCATTTACATGATATTGACTACATGTTGTTAAACTATTTTCATGTTGTTTATCTATTTACATGTTTTACTATTTACAAATGTTTAACTATTTACAAGATGTGTAATGATTTACATGATGCTTAACTATTAACAGATGTTTGACTATTTACATGTTTAACTATTTTGTAATTTATCTGAGGTTTATCTATTTGAATGATTTTGACCATTTAGAAAACAATTTTTCCAAAAAATTCTACTTTTTATTTTCATCAAGTTTTATAACTTGTTTAGCATTTTAAACAACCATTTATTGAGTGGATGTTTAGCATTGCATTTCAATACACTATAATTTTTAATGATAGCATACATTTTTCAAACTATAAACTAAAACAACATTTTTGTTTAATTTAAAAGTGACTTGTCAACAGTCTGACCCCAGCCAAAACACTGATCAGGTAAATTTTAACAATACCTTGGTTGTGCGAAGACTTGCACGAATTGCATTCAACCTCTCTCCAGCTGTTTTCTCTGCACTTTCTAGAGTATCAATATCATCAAGCTTCAGTTGTATGGTTCGCAGTTGTTCTTTCAATACATATTCAATGCACCTGAACAACAAACAAATCATCACCATAACAATTATTTATTTTTATAGACAATAAAATAAGTCAAATTCTAAAGCTAGGTAGCCAATTGACAAGTTAGATAACTTGAATTAAGAGTTAACCCATTTTAAAATTAGGTAACTCAAAATTGAATAAAGAGTTAAATAACCCACTTTAAAGTAAGGTAACTCAAAATCGTAACCTAACAAAAGATTAGGTAGCACATATTGAATAAAATCATGAATGTGCCACCTTAAAATTGAAAGAAAAACATGAAATGCCCTTTAGAAACCCTAATAATTTTCATTATGAACGTCAAATGTTGGGTAACTTACATCATTTGTTGAGGCACTAAGGCTATAGCATCTTGGGCCTGTATTTTTTTGTTGGTTCCCAGCAAGACTGGGGCAAACACAACAGATAAGGCATTGGGAGACATCTTGTTGCTGTCTGAGTGCATGGCCACCCTGTTCACAGGAGACAATAAGATTTAGTTACACTGAATGCTAAAATTTTGGTTTTACACAGGAGACAAACTAATTACGTCACACAGAAGGCTAAAAATGGTTTTACACAGGAGACAAACAAAGTAACTTACATAGAATAAAAAATGTTTGTTTTACACCAGAGACTACTTCTGCTCTATCAACAACCAGGTCTTGTAAGTAAAGTAGTGAATTTCCCCTTCCAAACCTGATGGTCTATGGGGCAAGTGAAGTAGAGTTCACATGTTTTTGTGAACTCCACATATGAAGGTATAGTGTGGTCAGCACTATGCCCAGCTGCCTTTACTTTCTCTAACGTGAGTTAGGTACCTATCAGAGCTGGTTGGACTCAGGGAAAGTCTACTGACTTGAACCTGGATTCGAACTCAAAACTTTCGGGTTAGCAGTCTAGCTCTCTACAGCTATGCCACTCCGTCCTTAAAATAAAACAACGTAATGACAGTGTGTCCTACCGTGCTAAATGAAAGACTAGACGTTCAAACAAATCATAGTTGGCTTTAGGAAGTTTTCTGATGATGTCAAACAGTGACTTGATGAGTTCCCTCTCATCCTTGATCACTGCAATTATAAATTCACCTTTTTACTCTGGGCAATTACTTGTAAATAAAGTTCTAGAGCTGAGCTGAACACAGCTCTAGCCTTCAAAGTAAAGGAGTTTAAGAGAAAACTATCTTTTGAGAAAAATATTTTAACGTGCAGTTTTTTAAAATAAGATTATAATATTAAAATAGTGTTATCCATTAAAAAAATTTTTTAGATAAATTTTGTATTTTTAAGAATACAGTTTGACGAGTTCAAATTTTTTTTTAAAACTAAATTTTAACTGTAAACAAAACAAAGTAGCAGTACTGACCCATGCTGCGAAGGAGCTCATCATACAGATCAAATGTAAGCAGTGGTTCAGGAAGAAGTCTGAGGAAAAGTTTCAGTGTGGCTGCCAGTACATGCACAGCGTAGTCATCCAAGTTGACACTTTCTATATCTGAAATAACAAGAAGCGGGTACATCACAATCATATCAAACTGTTGCACTTTTTTAATGCCAGAACAAGCCATTCCAGATGACACTACCAAACAGAACACCAAATCTGGCTTTTCCTTAAAATCTGCCCATAAATTTTGAAGCACATCAAAAAATTTTCCAGTTCCCATATCTAAACACAAACAGACACTAGATCTTTTTCCTTATGATCTGCCCAAATAATTCATGCATATATTTTTATACCAGTACTACACTGAAGTGGCTTCTTCTAGTTCTTAATTGTAATGATGGAAGAGATTCCCTCCAACTCAAATAAGTCTTACATGTCAACTTGTTATGCGCTATATAGGCAGCTGACTCCAATTTCGTGTCAGCTTTTCTTTTCAATTTTGCTTTCATAGTCTTTGTCCAACAAAGAATAAACTATAAGGCAGCAGTTGTTTGATTATAGAGTTGTCTCTCCTAGATAAGTTGCTGTCCCCAGCTAACTAAAGTAACTTACATTTAAAATTAAGTAAAGAGACATCATTTAATAAAAAATATTTTTTTACCTGATTCTAAAGCAGCCTGTAGTTCTTTGACTTTGGGTGCGGCGCCAGACTTGCGGTATATGCCCTCTGTGTAGAGTCCTGTTTTCTCAATGGTTGACATGAGGCGCTCACAGACCAGTGGGATCTTCTGCTTCTCACTCACTAAAGCTTCCAGCCTCGCACCAAACAGCTGACTGGACTGCTGGTTCTAACAGTACACAGAAATGGTTACATTTTTTAAACATTCAGAAATAAAAACTTTTTAAAATTCCTTCATAATAAAATAACAGTTTAAATTCTTCTTTTTCTTTTTTCTTCTTCGTTCTTAATTTTTAGTGTTGGAAAGGATCGAGCCTTATCTGCCAGAGGGTTCGAACTTGAGCCTTTTTTTAATTTAACAACCATGAGTTTTGCCGACTCGATCACGCCTCCAACACAATTAAGTATACATGTCAACTGGTTATGTGCCATTGAAGCCATTGACTCTGATTTCAGCCTGCTTTTCCTTTTAGATTAAATTTTGTATTTTCATGCAAAATTGTATTAAGCTATTTGCATTGTCAAAAATAGTTCTGTATTTTTGTTAAGTATTTTATACAAATTCCTATGTGTACCTAATTTCCTATTAGGTTCGGTATATTTGTTAAGTAAATATTTCATGAAAATTCCTATTTGTACCTTATTTCCTATTAGGTTCGTATATTTGTTAAGTAAATATTTCATGAAAATTCATATTTGTACCTTATTTCCAGATCCACCTTTACAAGGTGTGTTTTGTTTACTGTGGCACTTCTTGTGGCAGGCAAATTTACATTCTGTAGAACAAATCATGCATTCAAATTTAATATTTGTTAAATATAAAATAAACAACTACAAAAATTAAATATATCCAAACAATAGAACAATAGATTTATTATGACTGGCATTCCTGTTTTAATATCAATTTCATGAAAAGTGTAAATGGTTCTCTGGGTTATTTTGTTTAAGCCTACACAGAAAAGTGAGTAAAATGCTATGATCATAAGAGAGAATATGCATTTATTAATGAAGTCGTCTAGAGTTAGGAAAAGCCAGTACATGTGGAACAACGGGGAAGGTAATCTATCCAGGTGACAACTTGAGAACTTTGTCACTGAATTTTTTTTTTTAACTTTATGTGTTAAAAATAAAACACTGGACAATTATAATGGTTCTAAAATAATTTAAAACAGAATTTCTCTGTAAAAAAAAGGGGTATTAGGCGGTCAGAATGGTTCTAAACAAAACTTAAAGTAAATTTTCCAGAGTAAAAAATGACAATTTAAAAGGAGTTGGAATGCAGTAGTAGAGTGTCTTACCTTGACATACATAACCTTTATCCATAATCCAGATGAGAGAGCTGCACACCTCACAGAAGGTGACAATATTAAACTGCACCTGTTGGTACCTGTGGCCGTTGAATTCCTGCAGGTAAAAAACATCATGCTGTATTACAATCTGTTATCTACTTATCCCGGTGTAAATAACAGCCAAGTTAATGAGTGACCTATCAAAATTGTCATTGTATTGCATCTAAAAATATTTCTACTAGTCAAGTCTCTTCTGTTTGTATAGTTCCACACCTATAAATATGCATTAGTTCATACAACTTACCATTTAAGGGGAAAGAAAACAATTATAAAAGTGAATAGGAGCAAATACTCTGATCTTTAAGCTACATTTGTAGCATAATTTTAACAAGTTTTCACTTACCAGCAACTCCTCATTCTTCTTATGTTTTTCTCTTTTCAACATTTTTTTCTGGTTGCGACTCCCATCTTTTTTACTGTCCTTCTGCCTGGACTCTTCCAACTTTCTAAACTCATCCAGGAAACCTCGGAATGCATTAACAGACATAACCAGGGGCGCGTCCGTCATCTCTTGCTTCATTTCAGCTGTCAGGAGATTCCTGAACTGCTCAAACAGGTCTCTGTACCTCACTTGAACTTTGGCTTTCTAAAAAGCAGGTTAAATAATACAAAAATATTACAAAAAAAAAATAACTGTAAATCCGCTAAAAGGAAAGCAGAGTCACTTAAATAAGTACAATCTTTAACTTATCTAGAAGAAAAATTAAAACAGAAAAGTATAAATGTCTTGATTCTGACTTACCCCAGCTTCAACAGCAATCTGTGATTTCAATTCTTTGCGGAACTTTTCTAAAGCGCCTTTGAATATTTTATCAAAGATAGTGTACCTGCGATTGGCTGAGTCTCCATACAGTTCTGTGTGCTGTTTAACAAGCCAAAGTTTAAACTTTTTAAGATACAAGTTAATTCATTTATAAAAATTAATTTATAAACAACTTTAAGCATTATTTTTAGGAATACATTTTATTATTATTGAAAGAGTTGATTTTTAAATACGTATTAATTAATTTTAAACATAAATTATTTGTTAGCATATTAGTGTATTATTTTTGACTGCAAATCAACTCTTTTTAAGTATACGTTGTTTTTGTCTACTTTAAAAAAGACTAATTTATTAGTTGGAAGAATAATCCTCTTTAAAAGTTATCAATTTATATGAATTTAAAAAATTTTAATTTGGTATATGATAATGCAACTAGGAGAGGATTTAGAAAGTCAATTAACAACTGTAGGGGCTACTTTCATTACATGCAAGTAGATCAATATGTCTATCAACATAAACAGAATTTATCTGAGAACGTATGATGTTACCTTTTGACCTATGAAAACATCCAGATGGCGCAGCTCCTCTAACTCTGTAATGACCATGGTATCTGCGTACTGCCATTCCGTGGCCCTGGCCACATTCATGTTGCTGCGGGTCTGCGGCCTGGCCGGGGAGGAGCTGGAGGGTTTGTTGTTGGGCCTCTTCTTGACCTTCTTCACCCTGGCGCGGGTGGCTGGGGTCTTGGTCACATCCTCCTCCTCTTTGCTGTGGGATGATGGGGAGGACGGCACCATAGCACCTCCGTAATGAGCGGGTAGGACACTTATGCCTTCTGTAATGTAAATTAATGTAACCTTTAAAACTATAGAGGGCTAGAGGCTTCTGTTTGTATAGTCAAGGTAATTTTATTTTAACAGGAACTGATTAATCTACTGAGTGTAAATCAAGTAATTTAAATCACTGGTTGATTTCTGCACATAAATATAGTCTAAGATTGTCTTACTTGGCTTACTTTTTTCTATTGAAGACCGAGACACTGAAGAAACACTACTTTCTTCAGACTCTTCTTCACTGTCATCTTTTTTTGGCTTTTTGGTACCTGAAAAAAAATTAGTTAGTTAATAAAACTGAATTGATTTTTCCATTCAGTATATGCATACAAATGATAATGAACTGATTTGCACCTAATATTCTCAGAAAAGACAAAATAACAATTTCAATTTTTAACCCCCTTTCTATGCTAGAAACAAAATTACAATCATTAATGTAATTTTAAAAATTGTTTTGAAATTCTTTAAAAGCTTGGTCATTAGAAATTTAAATATCTGAAAAAAAACAACTTCTATGTAAGTGAAATGAATTACAGACTGCGTATACTAAAAGAAACCAATGCACTAAATCAATCATCCGATGGTTCGAGGCAACATGGACATGCTCTGCTCTAACACTTGACCACTCAACCACTGACAGTGTGCTGCCGCTAACTAATCAACAGTCAAGAGACATATCAGCTAAAAATTATTGGCTATGTTGTTTCTTCTTCATAAACTGAAAAACTAAAAAGCTAGGTGAAAACATTTACTACAGCTATAGGTACAAAGCGTTATTTAAAAGAAAATGGAATGGCCATTTTACATTGGCTCTGAATCTCAACTATATTTAGTATTCTGTGTGTTTTCCTGTGAAAGAATCGCAGCCAATCAAATGTTTCAATATAACTGAAGATGGGTTACTTCCCCAGAACCATCTGTTTTAACTCCGTTTTTAATTTTTTTTTTTTTAAATACACCGTTGTGTTCTAAATCCACCATGACAAAAAAATTCATGGCCATTCTTCTAAACTGTACAGGTAATGTCCTATCGCTTGGGTCCATTGGCTGTGTGAAGAGAGAGGGCCTGATGCATGGGCAACATCTTGCTCTTCTCAACTTAGGAACCATTCTTTATGCTTGGATTTCCAATGTGCAATCATCCAATTAACTATGGAGCTATATTTTTATAACATAATAATTGTATTTCACCAAGTGCCTCATATAAGAATGTTCCTATCAATAAATCTTTACAGACGTGAACATTTTTTTTAAAATTTGGAGTTAAAACACTCTAGTTCTATGGAAGTTGAGTATTTAAATTTGTGTTGTGCATGATGCAAGCATGCAGTATCAAGCAATGTTTGGTAGCTGGCTGTTGAAAAAAACGAGCACAAATGCACAAGTCAGCATACAGAGCAATACATAGATCAAAGTGCACAGAAGAAAAGAAATGCACATGTTGGCTTGTGCTTTGGCCGTCTGCTGCTCTCTGCCCCATGCAATGAATAGCTGGTGGTGTACTCACTTTTGTTCATAAAGAACTTAAAAGATTTCGCTGGACTTGATGAAATGCATGAGTGAGGTAGTGTGGGATGGCCTGGTGTGAAAACAATTGAAACAAATCTCTTTATACATTCATTTATTGTTTATGCCCCCTTCTCCACTCATCACTTCAGTTTAAGCCAACTACTAGCTAATGAATGCGTGGCTCAAAATTGTAAAGTCCTCCGTGTTATTTCAAACAAAAAATCAACTACCTTCTCAAAAGTTTAGGCCTAACAACTAACTAAATACGAGACTGAACATAGCAATGTCAGCTGTTTTGTCAAACAAATATCCTACTACCTACTAAAAAACTCAACTATGCTTGACATTTAAAAAATAATTCCTAAATGCAAACTGGCAACTATGAAAAAAAATGTTTGCAAATATTTTGAAATAGTCTACACATCAGTTTCAAAACACAACTAGGGCTTAAATCATATTTGGGTTTTCTAAGATTGTATTCATAATTAAAAAAAAAAATTCAATATCAAGAAGCCTTATGATTTAATTATTTTTATGTGAAAAATAATAAAGTATCAACACAAACAAAATTGAATAGAAGTGATCAAATACAAGGTGTGAAACACATACATCAACACAATACTGAAATAGAATGCAGTTAGTTTCTCTATGCAGTTTTTTTCATTTTTAAAAATTAAATAACATTAAGTATCATTGACTTGTTTAAGTAAACTTTACATAGAGAACCTATTCCTGTGTATTTAGCCTACATCTAGATAAAGCTAATTGTTTCTATGGTGTTTTTTTTAAATGTACAATTAAGATAGAATTATACCACTCACCCACCCACATTTCTATGGCTAAAAATAAGAAGATTTTTTTTTTATCACAAACAGCGCCAGTGAAAAACCTGTTAAACAAAGCCAAATATCAAAGCAAACAAAGAAAGAAAACAAAGGGAGAAAAAAAAACCACAAAGTATACACTGAAGTAAGGTTGACAACTAACAATGTAGGTGGCTCCAGAGTTCCCAGGGGTTACTGCCATCTGAAACCAGGACAGCAACATGTGAAGACTTGAGGGGGTGGCAACATTGTGAACATTTACAACTGGGGGAGGGAGTAGGGAGGGTGGGTCTTATACATTATATTGCTATTGTCTTATTCATTATATTGCAGGGGCTTTATACATTATATAGTGGGGGGTGGGTGGGAGTGGGGGTCTTATACTTAATATTGGGGGGGGGGGGAGGTTATACATTATGTTGCCAGGGGGGGGGGTCTTATATTGTGGTGAGTGTTGAATTGCATCTCTTTAATGAATTAATGTGGCTCTTTATTATAATATATCATACCTTAATGCAAGTACTTTTTTTTAAAATGTAAAACAATAGACGTACTAGTCATGATGTAATCTACAATATAATGTATGAGAAGTGGCATATAGCTTTAAAGAGCACTTCTAATGTTTTTAACACACATAAAAAGTCTCTGTATGAAAAAAATGTTGCTAATCCTAATCTGTATCTACATAACTGCCAGTTTCACTTAATATGAATGACTGCTTCAATATCAATCAAATTCAAATCTCAGATATTATTAATTACATTTGGGGAAATACTGAAAGGGGAGCTGCACTTAAAAAGTTATATTTTAGTTCTAGTTCTTTAAAAAATATTTTTAATATTAAATTTTTAAAATTAGTCATTTTTTTCCAACTATTTTCTAATGAAAAGAGCAGCACATATTCATACAAAGAGCAGAATATACCTAAGCGTATGCAAGTTGCCAAATGCACTGATCAATAGCAACACCAGTGCCATATTTTTTATGCCAAAGTATTTTTAAAAAAAAACAGGAATGAACAGAATAGAAATGAATCAAATGATGGACTGAAGCAGTAGTTGTTGCTGATATGTCTATGCATACAATGTGATGAACAACTGGCAACTTTCTAACTCAGGTCCTTCTACCTGTGGCTGAGGCACAACGTTAATGCCAGAACAAAATCTCTGCAAGGACTTGCACATAAGGCAAACTTGCTATTTTTTTAATTTTCTGGCATATTTTTAAAAATTTAATTAGACTTTTTTTATTTTAAATTTTTATATGACTTGCTATTGTTGTTGTTTTTTCCCACTTAACTACACTTTTGTGTTAGAATGAACTTTGAATGTACAAGTAAATGAACAAGAACATGGAAAGGGAGATAACTAGAGAAATTTTGAAATTTAATGTAAATAAATCTGATTAGTTTCCCTACATTCATAAAAATAGGTTTCTAAAACATTGTAAATGCTGCCAAAGTTGATGTTAATTGTTTAATGTGTTCATAGCTAAGAAAATGTTACTATAGAAATGCAGGACTTTTACACAGCCAAAAAAATAAATAGAAAAGACAACATATTTTTCATACAATGCAATGTGAAGGACAAAAAAATGGAGCACATGAGATCAATTAAAGGTGTTCAATGTTCAACCCTAAACCATAACCCACCTGTGAATATTTTCCAGTGTTTCTTTGCCTTGTTGATAGGACTGAGATGCCCGCTGAATTGATCATGGTCTGTCTCATTTTGTTCCTTCTTTTGCAGCTCGTCCTTGTAATGGCCAACCACGTTGTCCAGCTTCTTGAGCTCATTCTCAGACAGTTGCGTCCTCTCAGGGATCTGGATGGGCTTTGGTCTGTGATGCTCGTGGGACTCAGAAAATGAGAACTCCTAAAGACGAGTCAACAAGGAAAAGGTTTTATTGATCTGAAACTAAGTAACAAACACCAGTCAGCCAGCCAGCACTGTAACTATTGCTCACTCCGAAGTAGCTATAACGTTAGTTATGAATTTTAAAATGTGAAGAAGGGTAATTTAATTATTTCATTTGAACTCAAGAACAGTATTAAATAGAATTGTATTATGTAAGTACTTTATAACAATACACATCACTAAAATCATTTTTAACTTTAGAAATGTAGTTATTTTTTTTTCATTAATTTCATTGGCTTCATATGGTAAATAAATAAGTTATGAAAACTCTAATAATTCTAATAAGTATTTTCTACTTTAAGTGAGTAACATAGCACTCTACAATGGTTTTAATGTTATGAAAATACAAACTAATGATTCATGCACAGCACAACAGTAGAAATGTATCAATCATCATTTGAAATAAGGATAGAGTAACGCCCACCCTCCCCAAATCTACAGTAGAACTGTTCAGTTTACATTATTTGTAACTAAATATTTGGACTTCAAATAACCAGTTCTATAAAGTGATGTCCAGACACTTATTTTCAAATGGTTGATGCCAAGTCTTCATCAGCTGTTTCAGTGACCCCTATCATGTAGATAGGTGTAAAATCATTTTGTCAAACCCCATTTAAAACTTAGCGCAGCACATGAATACATCATTTTTAAACAGTTAAAAATAAATGCCTACACAAAAATGTACATGTGAAATAATTCAATGGCAAGGATGTAAGTACAAAGAAAAACATAGAAAGTATTAGAAGAAATCTGGCCAATGAAGCAAATAAGATAGTAGCAGGTTATAGATTTCTAACAGGCTAAATATAGTCTTGTTCTCATATTCAAGGCAATGATGCATGCTTGTCTGTCACAGTATATTCTGTATGCTTATAGTACACTGCTAAATTATTGTACACAAATAACTATTTAGCCTGCAATCATCTATAAGAAAAAGTTATTATTCTAGCAGTATAAAACACTCATAGAAAAAAAAATGTTAAGAAAAAAAAATGCAATGTTTGTTATGTTAAATTTCAATGGATTAAAAATTAAAAATAAAACAAGAGAAATCTCATCAAAGACAAAAAGATCAGGGTTTTCAATAATTATAGTGGAGATAAAATGTGTTACAAGCATCAATCAAGAGCAACTAAAAAGTTATAAAGTTAATTACTAAGTGCACAATGACAGTAAACCACAACCTCCAAAACCTACATGCCAACCTGTAAAACATCCATTACACCCATCAGTAGAATTGTTTTTAAATTTTTTAAACATTTACTTAATGATTTTTCATCTAATTAATGTTTTTGTTCCATTACAATATTAGTAATATTTTTTGCTTTTCCACACATTTTTATGCCAGTAAAAATACTTTGAACTTTGATTGAGAAAGTAGAGTAAAATTAAATATTATGTATATCATTCAACAGTTTGATAAGTAAATGTTCAACAATATATAATACATTTCATAAATTGAGTCAATACATTACTACTTCCTACATATATTATGTTACAGCAATTCTTATTACAAATTAGCAGTGCATGAGAACTTTTGAAAGACCCTAAAAAAGCTACTAAAAAATGTGTAGTTTAGAACTGGTTAGCATTTATTTTAACAGTGATATTTAGAATTGGTTAGCACTCATTTGAACAGTGATATAGAGAAAGTAACGGGGTGAAAGGTCAACTACAGCAGTTACTTTAGCAGTGGAGCAAAGAAAAGTTGTAGGGTGAGAGATGTAAGGAACCATGTTCTAGAACAACGGAGAACACCAAGTCTAAGGTGGTTATTGTCAAGCTGTACAGCTAAGAGAAAAGCACTTCAAAACCAAGGATAAATAGGTGTGCTATGTGATCAACAGTCTTCAAAACTTATCAGAATTTCAGTCCAGATTTATAATTTTATATTAGCATTTCACTATTATGTGATTTATATTAAAATGCTTTTTTTTTTAGAATTAAATGGTAAGATTTCAGTTAAACTAATTATAAAAATCATTTTAATTGCTTTAAACTAACATTCTTCAAACACCACTTTGTTAGTAAGATGCAATGAATGAACTGATACACACTAACGAAGGTGATCGAGCAGTATGGTGCATTTAAAAGGGAAATAATCTAACACAAACTAATCTGATTATATGAAGAAAAAAAAATTAAAAACATCTTCCGGCTAGCAAGACACGAAACAAATAAAAACTGCTAGTAAAACTGAAGAGTGGGGGGTACCACAGCACACCAACATTCTCCTATGCTGAGCAGCTGGGGGATGGGCGGTATGCACAAGGGGGCCTCACCCTATCTGAAAAGGACTCCTGTCTAGCCAGCGGAGCGGCAGCCTTCTGGCGTGGTTGCTGTGAGCTTCTATAGAGAAGGTAACTTTTTCTTCCATCCACCTGCGGCAGGGGGAGTAACTCCATCAAAAGTGCATGATCACCAAAAGCAACAATTTATTGACAGAGCAATTGTAAAAAAAAATCTATCCTATTATAAAAAGTTTAAGTGGAACTTTCAAAGATCTGTAGATTTGGTTCAACTATGACAACATATGATTTAAAAAAATCTTCAGTATGCAAATAAAATAAATTTCAGTACACACAGTTAAAAATAAATGTGAGGTACAGTTTCTAGCTAAGATCAAAGCAAGTAGTTTATAAGGAAAACTACAAAGCTGGTAAGACAAGGCACTAAACAGATTAAACCTAGTAAAAATCAATGTCCATATTTATATCAGCACAAATCTGTTTTCCATTATTAAGTGCTGTAATGTTTAATACTTTAAGAGCTGTTGTATTTGTAGCTATTCCTGCCTTTAATAGCTGTTGTGTATGTAACTATTCCCCACTTTTAAGAGCTGTTATGTATGTAGCTAATCCCTACTTAAATAGCTGTTGTGTATGTAGCTAATAACCACTTTAATAGCTCTTGTGTATGTAGCTGCTCCCCACTTTTAAAAGCATGTGTGTATCATCCACACTTTGCTGTCAATTTTTTTTTATATTTTTCATTTTAAAAAAAAAAGCTTCAGTGTTTTAAACTGTCAAACAATGCCTACCATTTTATCCAAAATGCATTGTTTCTTAAAATTTAGCTCTAAAAAACTTTAGATTAATTGAATTTAATTTACAAACTTAAATGCAACCTAACTAGTTTTAAAAGATAATGTTAATTTTTACTTCGTACTGATAAGAAAATAAACATGGGATCTTCAGGTTTCAGTATTTCAAATGTTTTTAATTTCAGGGTGGAGTAGCTTTAGTCTTATAAACCATGCTGCACATATAATTGTTATAAATTGTTATGAGAATAATGGGAAGAAAGTAATAATTTAGCCATGATTTAGCAGACTAATATGAAGAGCAAAGGATGATTTTATAGGACAAAAGAGAGTTCTACAAATGAACTATTTTTTTTTTATAATAAGTCACAGAACTAGCAAACAAAAAACTGGATTATAATTTCGAAGGTTAAAATAAATTACTAGCAAGAAAATAATGGATTTTTTTTTTAAAGTCATGCTTAAATTGTGTACAAATCAGAATTAGAAATAAAATAAAATAAAATTGGGTTGGGTTAAATTCATCTGTGTATCAAGCACATGCTTCAGTGTTAGATTTTTTTTTTACCCTTAAAAAAGTTTTAAATACATCATAAACTGGTTGGGTGTAAGAAAAAAATACAAAGTGACCACTTACACTCTCTTGTGTCGAGTAGGGTTTGGTGGTGTCTGAAAGTGTCTGGAATGTCTTGGCAAGGTCAGAAATTCTGAAAGCATCAAAACATACAAATTGATTCAGAGCAGCAGTTTCCTCACTGTGACTTTATTGTTTGATAAATTTGTCAATATCCTATTGTTTACAATTGAAAATTAATGAGTTTTAGTTACTTCCCATTTATATATTCTAAGTAACAAAGAGAGACAACTTATAATTAAGTCCCTATAATTATTGAAAAGACAAATTCCATACTAAAAAATTATGATGGGAATATATGCATACTATTTAAACTGAAAATAATTACTAAAAAATTATTATGATTGTTTGTTTAACTCTTTATACATCATATATTTTAGAAGTATTTTTAAACACTAGTTTCAAATTAGAAAACTATTAGCTTTATTACATACTTAACATGCAGAAATGTGAAAGATGTTCATAATTAACACTTTAGAGTTTGCAAAACCAGTATCACAGTATCAAGAACCCCTTGTTTTTTGTTTTAAAACAACCAAGTAGCCCAATGTTTAAAAAATGTTTTGATACTAAATGTCGAGATATAACAAAGCACATCCCACACTCAACAGCAAAGCCCTACATATTTATTTGGAAAGATTTGGTAAGGGGAAGTGGAGGTGCAAAGATTTCTGGGTTTTTAAAGTGAGTTGCAATAAGAAAACATTTGGAAATCACATTATAGAAATAAATATAACAATAATTATAAAACCTACTTTTGCCTTTATTTTAAGTTAAACAGCATAACTGTTGTGAGTAAAATACCAGTATCTTTTTAAAAAAATAAAATTGAGCAAACTGTATAGAAGAATCTACCTATCATTTAATGCTTTTAATTAGTAATGAGAAATCGGAATAGCTATAATACTAATTTTCCCAATAAATTTGTATTGGGAAATTGCTTTATCTATAATAAACAACCACTTTTTAATCCTGTAAAGTTTTTCTGCCTGAATAACTTTGAAAATCTAATTCCTACAGTGATACACACCTTCCCTGTGATTTGCGAGACTTGGCTTTGTCCTCGTTGGCTATGGGTGTTGTTACAATGGGCTTTCTTTTCTCTGATGGAGGAGTAGGCGGTGGTGTGTCTATGACAGGTTTCTCAGCTGGTTTAGTGTACCCACACTCCGGTTCAGAATCCTCCATTATACCACTGCTCCTACAACAATTATTTTTTTTAAACTAGTTAATTATCTTTGATAACAAACAGTATGGGACAGCATACTTTTAACTCGAAAGTCTTGCGTTCAGATACAGGTTCGAGCTGTAGCATGTCACTGAGTCCACCCAGCTCTGATGGGTACCTGACTCAAGTAAGGGAAATTAAGCCGACTGGGCAAAGTGCTGACCACACCAACCCTTCATATGCTGAGGTCAAGAAACAAGAAATCAGGGATATTCTACTGATTTGAACCCAGATTCAAACTCCAGACTTTCAGGTTAGCAATCTACCTCTCTACCGCTCATGTTAAAAAATGATTTCTAAAAATCCACCAAACTCTAGTAAATGTCCACCTACTCTTCAGAGTCCCTCCTAGGCAAGAATATCGGATCTTTCTCTTCTAACTCCTCTGTGCTTGATGCCTTCATCAGCACACCTTCATCGCTGGCTGTTGATTGGAGCTCTTCTTTCCTCTCACGTCCCCTCTCAGAATCCAGGCGTTCAATAACCGACAACTGGTCTTTCCTAAGGCAGAAACATATTTCTTATTGCATTGAAAAGTAATTACTTGACATAACAAAAATGGTTTGATACATTCAAACCAACTTTTTTTTTTTTTACATCAAAGCAATAATAAGCTTTTGACAATTAGTTGCAGTTGACATGTTTTTAAATTAAACAACTATGTAGCTTCCATTATTTAAATTAAACCAAGTAAAATTAAAAAACATTACTTTTTAAGTGTTATACTAAAGTATTTAGTTTTTATTATTTTGAGTGATGTGTGGGAGCACATTTATTTGTATGTGGGTGGAGCTGGACGTTAACCCCTCCTCACTCACAGCCTTTAAAAGAAAGATTCAGATACAGGTTGGTTAAGGATAAGTTAGGGATGGGGTTAGGAATATGGCTAGGGATAGGGATCTGATGTGGGGATAGGGATCTGATTTGGGGATAGGGATCTGATTTGGGGATAGGGATCTGATTTGGGGATAGGGATCTGATTTGGGGATAGGGATCAGGGTAGGATTGGGTTAGGATTATGGTTTGGGCAAGGATACAATTTTGGATATGAATACGGATTGGATTAGGGATAGAGTTAAGCGTATTTGGAATAGAGCTGTATAAATAGATGGATATATATAAATTCTACATGGTTGGGGGGGGGGGGGGGGGGGGGAAATTACCCAGGGTGATAACTGACATGAGTGTGTGCATGAATGTGTGTGCCTGTATGCATGTGTACATTTACGTGTGTGCAAATTACCAGGCAAACTGTGTACATATAAATAGCGTTAAAATTTACTTTGCTTTTTCAGCTTCTTCTTTCTCCATTTCCTCCTTTGCTTGTTTTTCTATCCTCTCAACCTCCAAACGAAGTTTCTCTACCTCTTCCTGTCTCTCTTTATCCATCCTCTCTCTCTCTCTCTTCTCTGCCTCTAACTTCAACATATTATTCCTCATTTTTCTTAAATTCAGCAACCTTTAAGATGAAAATTATCTTTTTTTAATAAAAATTCTTTCAGAAAAGTTGTTTTAAGTAAAAATAAAATTTACTTTCAGATCTAACAGGACATTATTTGTAAAGGACAGAGTTATGTCTTGCTACTCCTATAAGGGATTTCTGTGGTCAGTTCTATGGTCAGTTCTATGCAAAGTTAACTTTATATTGAAGGATTTTTGTGGTAGGCACTATTCACAACCACCTTTACATAACGGGATTGTGTGGTCAGTTGTGTGCAAAGTTAACGTCACAGCCACCAAGTAAAAAAGGCATGCAGCCAATAGCAATACCCTGGTCTACACATTTCCCAGTAAGCAATCAAGGGCTCACCTTCTCCGCATCAAAACGGCCCTGATGTAAGACTGCATATAGACAATGGCGCCGCACTGGGCCATGAAGTCCCTGCGAGCCAGGTAACCTCTGAACAAACACTGTATCCTGGTGGCGGCATCTGCTTGATGCTGCTGGTAGATGTGGAAATCTCTCTCGGCCAAGTATCGACGAATGTGTTTCTGGAAGGAAAACATTTTCTTATAAATATTATATAAACAATATTGTATTTTATAATGGGATGGCGTGGCCTAGCGGTAGAGCGCTAGACCACTAACCTAAAAGTCTCAAGTTCGAATCTGGGTTTAAATCAGTATAACAACCCTGAGTCCACCCAACTCTGATGGGTACCCAACTCTGATGGGTACCCAACTCGTGTTAGGGAAAGTAATAGCAACTGAGCATAGTGCTGACCACACTATCCTTTCATATGCCAAGGTCAAGAAACAAATGAACTCTACTTCATTTGCCCAACAGATCACTAGGTCTAAAGAGGAATCTTTACTTCTTTTTAATGTATAATATATAACAAATAATATAATCTGATCCTGAAAATTATCTTAGACAAAATATACTGTGATTTGCAGTTCAAGTCATAACACAGAAAAAAACTAATTAAAGTAATATGTTCTTAGCGGTATATAAATTGCAGTTGTAATACTTTACTCGTCATTTAAAAAAACATTTTGACAAATAAAATATATTTATTAAATAATAATTTTTAACTACGGGTAAGCAGATAGGCTACCTGCATAAGAATTGTGGCTTCCTTGAGTTGTAGGAACTCCCTACGTGCCAAACAGGTCTTGACCCATCTCTGTATTGTTATGACCCGCTTCATGATAGCAGAATGTAGGGCCTCGTCCAGTTTCAGTTTTTCTGTTTCCCTCAAAAAGATCTAGACAAAATGTTTAAAACTATTAGCAACCACCATCTTCAACATTATATTTTTATTATTTTCCTCAAGAATACCTAGTTAAAATGTCTAAAACCATTAGCAATGACCGTCTTCAACATTATATTTTCCCATTCCCTCAAGAATAACAAAACGGAACATTTTTAACAATAAAAGCTTTCAATTTTGAAGAACAAAAAAAAATTAGTGAATAGTAGTGAAGTTGATTAATCCAATGAATAGTATTTGCCAAACCTTTGTCATGCCGATCTGATAGTTTTCTTCCTGGAGTCCCATGGCGGTGAGAAAATCTTTGATGTCCCCTTTTGTGTGTTCAGGCTTACAAGGCAACAAGATTTTATACAGCTGAATGAATTCCTGAAAACATTAGGGAAACAAGTGGAAATATTGCTAATGCAGAAATAATCACACGACAAAGCAGACATTAAAAAAGTTTAGTTTATCTTGAGTTTAATATACAAATTAAAGCACCATTTTTATATTTGGAAATTTTTAAATCACACATTATTGTAATCATACAACAAAAAAAAAACTGAAAAAGAAATCAACCAAGCTATCTTTATTAAAACCAAAATTTAATATTGAATCACCAATTAGATTTGGAGATTTTCTTCTGCATATAACAATTGTTTATTAAAAAAAAACTAGAGGAGGGTGGAAGAAAAACATACCTGAATCAACAACCTGTAATTGTAGCCAGATTGCCTGATTTTGACAGTGGCTAACATCCCTGTGTAACGTAGCTGCCTCATTACAAGCTCCTCGTCAAACACACAAGGCGCCTAAAGGGGTGCACAATCACATATTCATTTATATTTCATGTACAGGATTAATTAATGTGTTTATCAAACTTAATGCAAAAATTTAAACTGCTAGTTTGTATGAACAAGAAATGATTTACCAGGAATTTCAAGCTTAAATTAAATTTTTATTTTAAATTATACAAATATACTTCAATGTAAGTAACAATTAACATTTAACAAAATAATTTGTTGTTAATGCTACATGAATATTTTACAATTGTGGAAGATTTTTTAAAATTTTTACTAGATGTATCTTCTAGGTATTTTTTCACCTCTTATAAAACTAAACGAACTCACCTTTTCCTTGTTGGACTTGATACATCTTATAAAGTATGGATTTGCCTGATTTAGGGTAGTCATTAACCGAGACAAGGACCACTAGAAAAATTAATTAGAATAATTATATGTAGAGAAAAAAAGTGTACATCATCACTATAGGACGTACCTGAGTCCACCCAGCTCTTATGGGTACCTGACTTAAGTAGTGGGGAGTTAAGGCAGCTTGACATAGTGTTAAACAAACCATCCCATCATAAGCCAGGGTCAAGAAACATATTAACTCTATTCCATATGCCCAATGGATAACTAGGTTTAAAAAGAAATCTTTACTTTTTTTACTTATACCATATTCATAAAATAATAATAAATAGTTAACTCTGACAGCAAAGCTTAAGAAATTGTAAAGCAAAAATATTTTTTTCAAGTAATCAGTGGGTTGAAATATGCAGGAAAAAGGTATTTAAGTTATTACCTGGAACTGTGCCCCAACTGTAGGAGGTTGTTTTTTACTGCCTGTTCCTCTAACACTACCAGGCATGGTACGGCCTGCTATTGCCTTCAGTGCTTTAATATCACGGAAACTCTGTGTAATAGAAGAACAATGTTGCTTTAAACACAGGGTACTCTCATTCATGAGTAGTAAAATATTACTATTTAAAGAAGGGTAGCTCTAAAAATCAAAACGTTTATTCTAGTGCATTAGTTTAAAAAATTATTAGGATTCCTGTTAAAAATTTTCTATGGGTCAACATGACATACCAAAGAAGGCCTCTGTTTTGGTCTGAAAGACTTGTTTTTCCTGTGAACAAAGGCAGAAACATCACATTAAATACTTTAGTATTTAGAATTTTCATGTTTAACAAATATTTTAAAATTTACGTATCGTATAATTTTTTACTTTTTTTCATTTAATTTTTTTAATAAGTTAAAACAAACAAAAAGTTTATTTACTTACATTTACAAAAATAAAATATCAATAAAACCTTTACCATAAACTAAATTGTTAATTATAAGAAATGTAAATTAGACCTTGAATAAAATGAGACCTGTTTTATTTAAACAAACTTTATAATCCAACTCTTCAAAGCTGTGATTATGTTAACTTAAGTTTAAAATAAAATAATTTAATCCCTTTACTTTATATCCCATTTTGATAATCTTTCAACATTTCAAAGTAACATAAAATTTCTGTCATGCCTAACAAACAAAAATTCTAAATTAGACTCACTCAAGTTACTAACTCAGTGGTTTGCACTAGACAAAATCAATGAGACATGCAACGCTAAGCAAAAAGATTGATAAAACAATAGGCTTCACTCAATGTAAACTCAGCACTTTTTAAAATACATGCATCAAGCAAGAATTTTGTCTGTGGTTTCTAACAAAAGTTTTTAATTACTTTCTCAGCAAAATATAAAAAAAGCTAGAAAGTATGTAAGAAATAGTGTGAATGTAAAAAAATTTCCTCATTCCATTAAATTTTCTGACAATTTTTGTAAGTAAAATTTCAAAGTGAACAAAAACTGTGCGCCGTTGGAGCCAGGAGAAGGGAGGGGGGAGGTATACATGAATTAAATGTCTGTGAAATAAACTACATTACATTAGAAGCTTCTGGGCCTTGCGGATGACCTTGATATCGTTTTCGGAGAAGGTGGACTCTAGCGAGCTGTAGAGAAGTAGTTCTTCATTGACATCTTCTTTGAACTGTTTTTGCTGTAAGATATCTGTCTCTTGCCTGCTGTTGGGTGTGGGGGAGTGGGGGGAGGGATGATGCACACTGATGTTAGAGCTCAACATAACAAATAAGTCTACAACGCTCAACACACATGGCAAGTCTCTTCTTCTTGTTAACTGCTTTCTAGTATGCAGTAGTACAATTAAAGAAAATGTTAGAATGTCATGCATAGAAAATGTATTTGTAAAAAAAAAAAAAATCAAATGTTGAAAATTGTTGAATAGAGAAATAAGCTCCATGTCCCCAGATATTCAGCCAAAAGAAAATGTTTACCTTGTTTGAAAAATAGTAAAAAATGAAAAAAATGAAAAATTCCAAAAAAGCATTAAGCTTATCAAACAGACAACAAATGCTGCCGTTTATTTTATTCAATAAAAAAATTGTGTGTTTTCTTTTATATTCCTCAGCCCAAAACTCACTCACCAACTTAACCATATCATATTTAACCACAAAATTCAAGAATTCATCAGTAAAATTCTCATAACTTCACTCATCAGTTATCCCCACCCTGGCCCACCAACCAGGGATTCATAGCATAGTCTAACTGTACCAAACAACCTCAGCCGTGTACTTCAGGAGGGTCAACACACTGGTAACTACACACATGTGCAGTAAGTATAATCTATCATTAGTAAGGAATCCACAAGAAACAACAGCCATCAAACCTCACTGACTACAAGTACAGCATTAGTTCTTAAACCAGGTGTCTCGTCTAACTCTAGAATCTCGTTGATGTATTCATTAAAGGGAATTTTGTGTTAAAAAAAAAATTAATGCTAGATTTTCAGCCACACAAGCAAACCACAAACTTTTTGAGGTAAAAAAAAAAAATGTTTTTGTTTTAAATTGAGAAAGCTCAGGATCAGGCAATGTGAGCACTCACTGGATCCGTCGTAGCACAGCGGCAGTAGAAGCCACGTGGTAAAATCTAGACACAGATAAATGGGATAGGATCAAAACATCAGTGGGACAAAAACTAGACAAAGGGATAGGATCTAATCATCAGTGGGATGAAATAAAGAAAGAAAAAACAGGCCTAGAAATATTTTTTTTTCAAACGAAACGAGATTTGTTTATAAGTTGTTGCTGAAGACTTACACTACGTTGCTGAATTTTAATGATTAAATTTAAGCCCCTGCTGTAAATGTGTAGGTTAACTGTTTAGGATAATTTTAATGAAGGTTGCTTAAAAAAAAATTAACTTGGAACAAAATTTTAAAAAATAAAAAAATTACAACGAAAGCAACTTAAGATTTCATTCAAAGCAAGATTGGAAGTGTGTACTGAATCAAGGAAGGGGAGGTAACTTAAAAACACAAGGACATTCCAACAAGGAGCAAGGAAAGAATGTATTGCTAAACCATTTGGCTTCTAAACAGTCAAGCTGAATAAATTAAGTTACTTTCATAAATTAAAACATGAGCTGTAACTATTGAAATGAATTATTTTATCCCATCAGAGGGTAAAAATAAAGCTTTAATTTTTTTACCCCCCAATATGCTATAAGCAAGGGAAAGAGTTTAACAATATGTTTACAGGTGAAACATACAGTGATAATGTTAAACTAGGTCTAAACATTTTGAAAGTTAACGAAATTAAAAAAATATTTAAGAACAAATTCCAAAACATCAAGTAAACCCAATGAAAATGAAACGAGAATTGAAAAATGCATGCACGTTGCCTTGAAATGTTTTCTTACTTGAGCAAATTTTCATTGAAAACATCTTGAAGGCTGGGGTCTGAGACTCTCTTTTGTCGCCTGCGACTTTCTTTGCCTGGAGAATTTAGAATTCTATTGTAGAATTTCTTACAGAAAAATGGTCAGACAAGAATCCAATAATTTACGTACAGAGTAAAAAGCTTAAAATACATTCATTTTTTTCTGTAATGTTAAACAGCTTTTTAAAAACTCAAAAATTGGCTGGACTAATATCAGAATAAAGTAATTTTGTTTTAAGTTTTATATTTGTGGTAAGATGTCTTCATGCAATTTGGGTATGGATTCTGAAGTTAAAATTTCTGTAATGTTCACCAGTTTTTAAAAAACCGCATAAAGCTATTGTACAGATTCTTATGAAGAAATTGTTAAACTAATGCAAGAAAGCAATAATTAAGTAAAGAGTGGCAGCTTAAAACATACCCCCATTTTTCCTGTAATGTTCCCCAGCTTTTTTAAAAGCAAAGAAACATCTGAAGAAAGCTCGAACTACGGACCAGCGTAGAACAGCTACAGGATCTATACCTAAACAAACAAGTTACACAGTTACTTTTAACACAATCCATTTCTACTGATAAATGTCATTTTATAGATATTTTTTATACAACTTGTTAGATATATTTCTGGTAAAAAAAAATTACATAAAATTATTTTTACAAGCAGATATATTTTTTTAAAGAAAATTCAGGATTGGCTGTGGAATTTCATGATGCTGTTTTGAACATTAATATTAATTTTAATGACTACAAAAGCTATTAAGTGCATAGTGTTTTTTCTCTGTATGTGTGGCCAACTTACCCATTAATTCCCTTACAAAAGCTAAACTACTTTTCTTTAATGTGTCAACAATCTCAGAGCGGACCAGGTCTAAATTCTTTTCTCTAAAATCCTGAAAACAGGTGAATATAAAACATTGGTTGAAATGGTGTTACAAAAAACATGGGAATAGTCGGAAATATTATTGAAACAAATTTAAGAAGAAAAAAAATTTGTTAAACTATGTACCTAGACTAATACTTCTCTGTTAGCTTTGTAGAACCTAACACTACCTTAGTTTCTGATTTCATTAAATAGGTTCAATTGAAATCATATTAATAAACAAAATGGCATTGACTTAGTGTTATTTGACAGAATCATAACTAGAAGGAAACTAATGTGCATAAATACTTCTAATAATTAAGTTCAGTGACCTAAACAGTAGCAAAATTTTAAGGTTATATAGTGTAAAATAACATGGTTAAATTGATTGTTTTAAAAAAAAAATTATTTAAAAAATAGCAACAATTCTCATTAATCAATAGATATTTAAAGACAATGAAAATAAAAAACATTTTTAGAGACGAGTTTATTCAGATAGTAACGATAAATAAATGTAAATTGAATAGCAATACCTTAATTAAGTATTTGACCCTTCCAGCATAGTGCATGATGCTGAATGCCCCTTCCTTGAGTTGTGGAACCTGATAATGTGGATTGTTCTTGTGATGGTGTGTACACTTGTTGAGTAATGTTTCATTGGTTGCACCTGGGAAACTGTGTACACAAAATTTTGGTTAACTTGTAGCAAAATGTACACAGTTTGGATAATATCTGCAAAGTTCTGATATTTATTAGTAAAAATAATAAAAGTAAACCTTATTTTATAACAATGACAATAGTAGGCACAATGGCCTTCGTTCACTTGGCCATTTTTTAGAATTATACTGGTATATGTTGATAAACCATTATGCAATGGTGTTTTTTAGAATTCAAGCATAAGTAAGACCGTAAATATAACATATATAACCCTTGAGAGTTGTACACTAGAAAACGATGCAAACTTCTCACCTGCACTCTTCATCAAGAAGATAGAAAAGCCCACTTGGACGTTTGGAAAAAATCTCTAGACTCCCTGTGTTGTCGATAAATTCAATATTTTTCCACTGGATCCCCTCTCTCTGATACTCCTCCTGCAACACAGTGTGAATAGAATCTCAATTGGAGGATAGGTACAAACTCTTGTTTGTTCAGATCATTGGTGCTATGGGGTCTTCTCTAGCTTCATTTATTTCATTTGTTCTCTTTCAGGTTTTTTTAATTATAAGGATCGCTTTCTCTCTTATTTGTCATTTTTTATTTAATTTTAAGGTTTTGTTTTTCTCTGACATGTATCTTTTCATTTTAGGGTTTACTTCCACAGTCCTCAATATAATATAATTTTTTTTTCATTTCAGGGTAAACTATCTTATCTATATACTTTTTTCAATTACAAAGTTTTCGAGCATTGAAAATGTAAATAAATTCATGAACTTTTACTAACAGGGAAATGATATCCTAAAACTTAATAAAAACATAAAGATTTGTATTTTGTTTTGGGAAAAAATTATTACCTGTTCAAATTTAAATATATGCTGGTTGAAGTAATATTGCAGATGCTCATTAGCATAATTAATACAAAACTGCTCAAAACTATTGTTGCCAAAGTCCTCAAATCCAAAAATATCAAGGACGCCTATAGAATCCCCTTCATGCTCTGAATCGTGTTTCTTTGCCAGGAGAGCTTGGTTGACTTTAAGAACAATCCAGTCAAAAAGAGTTCCATAGATACATTTAGCCATGGCATCCCGGGTAGCTATTGCCTGAAAGGATCAGAATTTTTTTTTTAATTTATTGCTACTTATTAAGAAATAGAAAACACTTTGCCAATTTGGCCCATTATAGAAAATAATAATTTCCAAAAAATATTTTCTGTGAGATATTTTACTTATGTCAATAATGCACTTTCTACAGTATAAATCGTTGATAATATAATTGAGATAATTGTTTAAATTATTATTACTTGTTAAGAAATAGAAAAAACTTTGTGCCAATTATAGAAAATAATCTTATGTCAATAATGCACTTACTACTGTATAAATTGTTAATAATATAATTGAGAATTGACAATTTTTACCAATTAATCTCTAACAGTAATTAACTACCCCTCCAGACCAGACAGGTTACAGGACAGATGAAGTAGAGTTTAAAGCAAACTAGACTAGTGTGGTCAACACTATAAATAAGACCTGTATGCTCCCAGACTCTGGTCAGATACCCAAAAAGGGTCTAGGAATTAATAGGGTAATTGACAGGTGGGTAATTACTCCAGTGTGGGTAATGTTGGGGGTAGGGGTAATTGAAATGGGGGGGGGGGGGGGTTAATGTCCTGCACAGCACAGATAATCTGAACCAGACATTCAACAATGTAATCATGCACTCTTTCCACCCGACCACACCACACCACTCATACAGCAACACTAATCAACAACTGTCTTAATTGGACTCACATCTTCCATTTTATAATTTATGACAAACGTTTCATCGCCAGCTGTAGTTTTTTTCTGAGTCATAGCTTCCAGTACGTAGCGTTCTTTCACCTGCAAGCATCGGAAATTTTAAAAAAAAACAGGTTTTGTTTTCCCTTCCTGCCTCAAACAAATTTAATCCTCTGTTTTACATGTGTCTTTAATTACGCTCCCGTAGGAAAGCCTTAAAGCTCGGGCTAAAGATAAAAACTACAAAGCAAAATTTTATTTTTTTTAATTTCTGAAAGATTTTGTTGGTTCGTCTTTTTTACACAATGGCAGGTAGCTAATTATTTTGTTTTAAATCAAACTTTTTTTTTTAAATTTAAATACAAGTTGTCATTAACAACAGTTGTAAGGAAATAAAACTTCTATTAAACAAACAAAGTTAGAGATTTTTTACAAGGCTGTACACTGTCTATCATCAACTGTTCTGATTTTTAAAATTCAAAAACAGTTCACATAATACAAACTTTAAATGAGCTAAAATGTTTTACAGTAAAACCTCCATGAGTTACAAACCCTGAGTTAGAGGTAAAATTTTGACAAGTGACAAACCTTGAGTAAGTTTGAGATGGTTTTGATAGCATCTCCAGTTTTGACCATCACAGATTCATCATGGTGTTTATCTCCTTTCTAAAAAAAAAATTGATATAATTTATGTATGAGTGAGTAAATTAATTCTTACATAAACATTAAGCATCACAAACATCTTTACTTTTTTATGTAATGCTCCCTTTTCAAAGTAGAGTTCACCTGTTTCTGTGACTTCGGCATAAAAGGGATAGTGTGGTCAGCTCTATGCCCAGCGGTCTTAACTTGCCCTAAAGTGAGTTTAATACCCATCAGAGCTGGGTGGGCTTAGGGATGCTTTACTGACTTTGAGTTAGCAGTCTAACACTCTACCACTAGGCCACGCCGTCCCATTTTAAAATGAAGGTATTTTAATCTGAACAAGCACAGGACACAGGATTAACATGACACATGATTAGCATGTAGGTGTTTTAATTTCACCAATCACATGACAGGAATTAACATGTCCCCTATTGTTGGTGTCTTAATCACAACCTCAATCTCAACATGGCACACACTTACCATGTGCCCTACTGTTTACCCCACACTATCAACCAATATGCCTACAGACACTACTATTCTTCATTCAATGAAACAGATTACAATAACAAGAAGCTGTGGTGGAGCTTACCTTCTTGAATTCAATATTCCCCAGCTGTAGAACAGCTGACAGCACACTGAAGATCCTACAAATTAAAGTAAACATGTTTTAATTAGAGGGGGGAAAAAACATTCGAATTAATAGGCTGTTAAAATTCAACACGGCAAATATTTCTAACAACATGATTAGTTCTTGGTGTATTCTGGTTTTAAAGAGAAAAATGTTGAAACAGAATTAGAATTAAAATAGACAGCAACATCATTACACTGCTGGAGAATACAATCATCATATGATTAGCATGGTAAGTAGAAGTTGTATTGGATGGTGTGGTGCAGTAGGAGAGCACATGATTGCTAACTTGAAAGCCTTAAGTTTGGTTCTTTGGTAAGGGTACTGAATAAGTTCATCAGCTGTAGACTGTACACCAATAGAGTCAGGGTTACTAAGGGTGGCTGGACATAGTACTGACCAGGCCAGTGTGTACACCATTAGTGTCAGGGTTAGTTAGGGTGGCTGGACATAGTGCTGACCAGGCCAGTGTGTACACCATTAGTGTCAGGGTTAGTTAAGGTGGCTGGACATAGTGCTGACCAGGCCAGTGTGTACACCATTAGAGTCAGGGTTACTAAGGGTGGCTGGACATAGTACTGACCAGGCCAGTGTGTACACCATTAGTGTCAGGGTTAGTTAAGGTGGACGGACATAGTACTGACCAGGCCAGTGTGTACACCATTAGTGTCAGGGTTAGTTAAGGTGGCTGGACATAGTGCTGACCAGGCCAGTGTGTACACCATTAGTGTCAGGGTTAGTAAGGGTGGCTGGACATAGTGCTGACCAGGCCAGTGTGTACACCATTAGTGTCAGGGTTAGTTAAGGTGGCTGGACATAATGCTAACCAGGCCAGTGTGTACACCATTAGTGTCAGGGTTAGTTAGGGTGGCTGGACATAGTACTGATCAGGCCAGTGTGTACACCAATAGAGTCAGGGTTAGTAAGGGTGGATGGACATAGTGCTGACCAGGCCAGTGTGTACACCAATAGAGTCAGGGTTAGTAAGGGTGGATGGACATAGTACTGACCAGGCCAGTGTGTACAACATTAGAGGCAGAGATACTTAGGGTGGCTGGACATAATGCTGACCAGGCCAGTGTGTACACCAATAGAGTCAGGGTTAGTAAGGGTGGCTGGACATAGTGCTGACCAGGCCAGTGTGTACAACATTAGAGGCAGAGATACTTAGGGTGGCTGGACATAATGCTGACCAGGCCAGTGTGTACACCAATAGAGTCAGGGTTAGTAAGGGTGGCTGGACATAGTACTGACCAGGCTAGTGTGTACACCAATAGAGTCAGGGTTAGTTAAGGTGGATGGACATAGTGCTGACCACATAGTCCATTCAAACATTCATATTAGCCAATGAATCACATGCACTCTTTAATAACAAAAACTACCACTAATAAACTTAATTTACTTAAGCATGTCTTGATTTAGCAGATCCTTAATGTTCTATATATTTCACTTATTAAATTTATATATAAAAGTTGTTACTTGAAATGTAGTGTCTTCAAGCTCTATTATGGAACAAAGAAAACTGAAGAGCTAATTAGAAAATATTTGTTATATATCAAACATCACACAGGTTCAGTTGTTCTTTTAAGCATTTTTTTCAAAACCCTTTTTAAAGAAGACAGGAGTAGTTGATGGGCTTGCTTTGACTTAGGAATAGTTTGTCCTAAAGGTATCAGTCAACAATATGGAAGAATACACTCAACAGAAATCATCATCCCAGCATCCCCAGTGTGTTACATTATAAACTTTACCAAAGGTGCAAACAGTGGCTGTTTGTAAACCACCACCAACATACCAACATCCCCAGTGTGTTACATTAAAAACTTTACCAAAGGTGCAAACAGTGGCTGTTTGTAGACCACCACCAATATACACAGTGTGTTACATTATAAACTTTACCAAAGATGCAAACAGTCTGCTGTTTGTAGACCACCAACATCCCCAGTGTGTTACATTATAAACTTTACCAAAGGTGCAAACAGTGGCTGTTTGTAGACCACCACCAATATACACAGTGTGTTACATTATAAACTTTACCAAAGATGCAAACAGTGGCTGTTTGTAGACCACCACCAATATACACAGTGTGTTACATTATAAACTTTACCAAAGGTGCAAACAGTCTGCTGTTTGTAGACCACCAACATCCCCAGTGTGTTACATTATAAACTTTACCAAAGGTGCAAACAGTGGCTGTTTGTAGACCACCACCAACATCCCCAGTGTGTTACATTATAAACTTTACCAAAGGTGCAAACAGTGGCTGTTTGTAGACCACCACCAACATACCAACATCCCCAGTGTGTTACATTATAAACTTTACCAAAGGTGCAAACAGTGGCTGTTTGTAGACCACCACCAACATACCAACATCCCCAGTGTGTTACATTATAAACTTTACCAAAGGTGCAAACAGTGGCTGTTTGTAGACCACCACCAACATACCAACATCCCCAGTGTGTTACATTATAAACTTTACCAAAGGTGCAAACAGTGGCTGTTTGTAGACCACCACCAATATACACAGTGTGTTACATTATAAACTTTACCAAAGGTGCAAACAGTCTGCTGTTTGTAGACCACCACCAACATCCCCAATGTGTTACATTATAAACTTTACCAAAGGTGCAAATAGTCTGCTGTTTGTAGGCCACCATGATGAACTTTCCAAGGGGGGGGGGGGGTCATCAGGTTAAAAGGTAAGCTTTTTAAATGACCAGGTTTAGTCAGTACAGTTCATCTACAAGGCAAATAACTCATTCTCTCTACTCAGGTAGATATCACGCTAATTGGGAGGGGGTGGAGATGTAAAGGAAAACTAATCATAAGGACAGCAAGGGCAGCTAAAATTAGATCAAATCCCCCCCTCTAGTACTTCGTTTTTTTTTCTTTCAATTTATAATTACCTCCCTTAGCAGATAGCTGTGTTGGGAAAAGTAAAAAAAAAAGTGTGATGCTAAGTTTATTTTTTGTTTTTTTAAAGCCACATGAGGAGTTAATACCAGAAGTGGGACAACTTCATATGGTGGTACAAGTACCTGGGTGGCTGATGTGTATCATACCACATGTGGCTATAGGTGTGATAGCACTCCCACTGTTGGTACAAGTACCTGTGTGGCTGATGTGTATCATACCACATGTGGCTACAGGTGTGATAGCACTCACACTGGAGGTACAAATACCTGTGTGGTTGATGTGTATTACACCACACGTGGCTACAGGTGTGATACCTTCAGCACTCCCACTGGTGGTACAAATACCTGTGTGGTTGGTGTTTTGTCACCACATGTGGCTACAGGTGTAACAGCAATCCCACTGGTGTTACAAATACCTGTGTGGTTGATGTGTATCACACCACATGTGGCTACAGGTGTGAAACCTTCAGCACTCCCACTGGTGGTACAAGTACCGATGTGGCTGATGAGTATCACCACATGTGGCTACAGGTGTAACATCACTCCCACTGGTGGTACAAGTACCGGTGTGGCTGATGTGTATCACACCACATGTGGCTACAGGTGTGATAGCACTCCCACTGGTGGTACAAATACCTGTGTGGCTGATGTGTATCACACCACATGTGGCTAAAGGTGTGACCATACTCCCACTGGTGGTACAAGTGCCTGTATGGTTGGTGTGTTGTCACACCACATGTGGCTACACTGGTGTGGCTGATGTGTATCACAGCACACGTTGATGCAGGTGAGACGGCACTACATCAAAGAGAGCAGCCTTGTTTACACCTAGGTAAGCACTTCAAAAGTGACCGATCCCAAACAGTCTACCAGCAAGCTTATTTTATGTGGAGAGTTCATGAGATGTTATGGGAAAAGAGTGGCTATGGTAAGTACATTTCTTTAGCAGGAAAACCTCATTAATTACCAACAGCAATAAGCTTAAGGATCTATAAATGTTTAGCACATGGAACTACAATAATGCTACCATGTGACTCATATTGCCAGTTGTCGGGGGGGGGGGGGGGGCGGGGGGGGGCTATTAAAAGAGTAGGTTGATGCTTCTGTGGTGTGGTTCTCAAATCACAAGGTGAGGCTTGTAGGTACAAGCAATGTTCCCTCTGGGCTGCGCGGTTGCGCGGCCGCGCACTAGTTTTGAACCTGTATCCTTGTATAAGACGTTTAGAACGCCGCGCATTAAAATACACATTGCCCGCCAGCTTATTCCCCTATAGAAGAAATGTTGAGCACAATTATTCTGACCTAGTTCGTAACTTTGGTGTGCTACGAATGTTCGAATCACCCATATGGGTGCAACTGTTGGACGTCTACATTCTTAACTATCATTCAAAAGCACATTTTTAAAGTGCCCCTTGGCGTAGATCGGCCCATCGCAGCCCTCTACACTAGTTTTGATTGGTTCGCAACGAACTTATCGGGGTTACTTCTACCAATGTTATGTTTTGAAGAACACGCTGAACAAATTGGTGACACGCTACTAGCACTCAACACATAGAGAACAATGTTTTGAATATTGGAATTACTACGATAAACCCATACATATTTACTTTTTTTTTTTTTAAGTTTTATAAAAAAATATTCTTGTGACTTTAAAATCCCGGGCAATACAAAAAATTATGCTGGGGAAATTAAGAAATTAAAAAGAAAGAAAAAACTTTGATTTTTCTATCGTGTTCTTTTCACAAACAGGGCATTATATTTTTGTGTTGATTTTTTTTCACTCACAGTCCGCTCTCAAATAGATTAGACAAGTACTTTCTCTTCATATGATTATCAAGAAAAAAGGCCAATGCATTGTGTCCTTTGCAATTATTCTTAAAGATATCTTAGAATAAATAGAATATTTATAGTCAAATCACACCCATCACAACTTAAAACAAAGCAGAAAGATATTTTTTTTAAACCAGTTGGCGTAGTAATCGTGAGTGGATTTGAAAACTTGCGACAGGACTACATCGCATAGCCAAACGACTTCCGTTTTCCCTCATGCAGCAAACGTCATAGAATGACGTTCTTTAACTTAAAAAATTCCACGCTTCGTTAAAACATGAAAGTAAACCATCAAAGCTATTTATATAAGCTGTTGCAAAAGTTGGTTTAAAATGTTGAAATGATGGGACAGGTGTTACAGAACTCATCGCAGAAAAATATAAGTACTAGAAGCCTTCACATTAACAGTGGGCTAAAAGCCTAAACGTTAACATAAGCCTCCACGCTAACAGTGAGCTAGAAGCCTCCACGCTAACAATGAGCAAGAAGCTTCAAACCTAAGAGTGAGACAGAAGCCTTCACGCTAAAGATGAGATAGAATCCACCACGCTAAACCTACAAGCTAACTAGAGCTTACACTCAAACGGTGAGCTAGATTAGTAGAAGTTTACACGCAAATGGCAAAAAGCCTATACGCAAACAGTATTTGCCAGCTATTGTATCTGACCGTTCCACCTCCACGCTAAAACAACACAGCTCCTCTACTATCCATCACACTCTCTTATTTCTGGCATACATTGACTATGATGTTTTCTATATCACAAATGCTACAATTACTATTGGTATTTGCACAGCCAATGTAAAAAGTGACAGTAAAATCACTTGCACTTTTATGAATTAATTTGGCAGCTTTAAAAAAAAATCACCAAAACCATCCCTATCCAACACCAACATCTGATCTATCAAACAAAATGTAATTCAAACCTATCCATCAACACCGCTAGTTTTGTCCCTATCCAACAACACCGCTAGTTTTGTCCTTATCCAACTACACCGCTAGTTTTGTCCCTATCCAACTACACCGCTAGTTTTGTCCCTATCCAACAACACCGCTAGTTTTGTCCTTATCCAACTACACCGCTAGTTTTGTCCCTATCCAACTACACCGCTAGTTTTGTCCCTATCCAACTACACCGCTAGTTTTGTACCTATCCAACAACACCGCTAGTTTTGTCCTTATCCAACTACACCGCTAGTTTTGTCCTTATCCAACAACACCGCTAGTTTTGTCCCTATCCAACTACACCGCTAGTTTTGTCCTTATCCAACAACACCGCTAGTTTTGTCCTTATCCAACAACACCGCTAGTTTTGTCCCTATCCAACAACACCGCTAGTTTTGTCCTTATCCAACAACACCGCTAATTTTGTCCTTATCCAACTACACCGCTAGTTTTGTCCCAATTCAACAACACCGCTAGTTTTGTCCCTATCCAACAACACCGCTAGTTTTGTCCCTATCCAACTACACCGCTAGTTTTGTCCCTATCCAACAACACCGCTAGTTTTGTCCTTATCCAACAACACCGCTAGTTTTGTCCTTATCCAACTACACCGCTAGTTTTGTCCTTATCCAACTACACCGCTAGTTTTGTCCCAATTCAACAACACCGCTAGTTTTGTCCCTATCCAACAACACCGCTAGTTTTGTCCCTATCCAACAACACCGCTAGTTTTGTCCCTATCCAACAACACCGCTAGTTTTGTCCCTATCCAAAAACACCGCTAGTTTTGTCCCTATCCAACTACACCGCTAGTTTTGTCCCTATCCAACTACACCGCTAGTTTTGTCCTTATCCAACAACACCGCTAGTTTTGTCCTTATCTAACAACACCGCTAGTTTTGTCCTTATCCAACAACACCGCTAGTTTTGTCCTTATCCAACTACACCGCTAGTTTTGTCCCAATTCAACAACACCGCTAGTTTTGTCCCTATCCAATACACCGCTAGTTTTGTCCTTATCCAACAACACCGCTAGTTTTGTACCTATCCATCACCACTAGATATATCCCTATCCAACAACACCGCTAGTTTTGTCCCTATCCAACAACACCGCTAGTTTTGTACCTATCCAACAACACCGCTAGTCTTGCACTTATCAATCACCACCAGATATATCCCTATCCAACAACACCACCAACACCAGATATATCTCTATCCAACAACACCACCATACACCAGTTCTATCCCTATCCAACAACACCACCAACACCAGCTCTATCCCTATCAAACAACACCAACAACACCAGATATATCCCTATCAAACAACACCACCATACACTAGATCTAGCCCATTCCAACAACAACACCATATAGGCTATATCCCCATCTAACAATGCCAAATGTAAACAACGCATCCCTTTGTCACGCAAACAATTGAACCTCTTGTTCGGGCTACAACAGAGGCTCCCAACTCAACTGAAGTGTTGAATGTCAATGATAATTTTAAACCCCTCCTACACTACACAGAGAGCCGAAATCTGAGAACAGCCTTAACAATTAGTGATGCAACAAACCTGGTGTTTTAACAAGCGATAGACTCACAAAACCCTAAAACCGCAGTGGCTTTTAACTTTTCACAACTGTTTACAAACAAGAAGATAGTGAGGGAGGGGGTATGTTTAATATAGAGCCATTACGGTAAAAAGGTGTTTAAATAAGTAGTACTCACTTTCGCTGTGTCTCGGGCGAGAAGCCAACCATCTCCATGGACTGTTTGAGCCGGGCGAACTCATGTTCCTCGTCCACACCCTCCACGCTGTAGCAAGCACTCTACAACAACACAAAATGAACGTCACACACTGCACTGATATGATGCCTATTGAAGCTGGTGATGACACACCATCACTCTAACGCTAAACGCAGCTTTGATGCTAAACTAGGCCTACCACTAAACCGTAACTCCATCTTCGACCATGAATCTTACCCTATCCTCGACCATAACCCTAACCCTTAACCCTAACCCTATCCTTGACCATAACTCTAACCTTATCCTTGCCCATAACTATGTCCCTAACCGTATCCTTTCCCATAACTATGTCCCTAACCCTATCCTTGACCATAACCCTAACCCTATCCTTGACCATAACCCTAACCCTATCCTCGACCATAACCCTAACCCTATCCTTGCCCATAACTATGTCTCTAACCCTATCCTTGACCATAACCCTAACCCTATCCTTGCCCATAACTATGTCTCTAACCCTATCCTTGACCATAACCCTAACCCTATCCTTGCCCATAACTATGTCTCTAACCCTATCCTTGATCCTAACCCTGACCCTATCCTTGACCACAACTATGAACCTAACCCTATCCTTGCCCATAACTATGTCCCTAACCCTATCCTTGACCCTAACCGTATCCTTTCCCATACCTATGTCCCTAACCCTACCCTTGGCCATAACCTTAAGGGGGTCATCCATAAATGACGTCACGCTTTTTTTTGACGATTTTTACCTCCCCCCCCTCCCCTCCGTCACACGTCGTCACAAAAAGCCAGACCCACCCCCCCTAAAATGACGTCACACCTCACTCAGCCTACTCACCCCCCCCCCCCCTCAAAATTGCAGTTGATTTTTTTTTTAAACATCGGTATTTTTCCAAAATCTTGTCTGAAATTGTGAAATATGTCAAAATAGAGTATTTTAATCAATTACTATTATAATTTATTAAAACTGTTTTCTAAAACTCTAAATAACGTCTAAAATTCGTTTTCTAACATTTCTTATCTATAAAGCAAAAGTGTGACGTCGCACCATCTGAACCCCTACCCCTCATCACACATCGTCACAAAATTACCGACCCCCCCTCCCCCCTACGAGTGTGACGTCATTTATGGGCGACCCCTAAACCTATCCTTGCCCATAACTATGCCCTTGGCCATAACCCTTGACCTCTGTACAGAGCCACTAAATAAATGTAACGATTTCGGCTGCATCGAGGTGAATTGCATGATAAAGTTGTCGACATCAGAAAAACATGGTCTAAGTCTTTCTGCTGCAGTTACATAAGGAATTATTTGATGGGGGGAAAATGCTCGACTCTGTAGTAAACAACAGTAATTTTTTTATTATTTTAAATCAACCCATCCTCTTGATGAATTTGTAACTACTTGAACGTCACTAAACACAATCCATGAAAATGATTTGGAAATCTCGGAACAGTTTTTTTTTTAAAGACCCTAAAGTTATTTTTAGTAGATGGGGAACTACCCGGTCTTTCAATGGGCGTATTTTCTTATATATATTTTTTTAAATTGGAATCAAAAGTCTACACATAAGTCAATTTTGTATTTAAAACTCCTTGAGCATACTTTATTAGTAGCAAAATAATATAGTTCAAACGGCAGACATTTGTTTTTATCCAACCAACGACATAGCAAACATCACATTAAAAAAAAAATTGTATTGCTAAATATTAGCTCAACTATGTAACCTAACGCCTGTGACGGTAAAACCGTTTAGGCCTAGCTCCACGTTATTCTTACACCACCCCTTACCTGCTCTATACTTCCCCCCCCCTCTATACAACTACGTACATTCCTATCTTTCGTCCCCCTCGCAGGCCCCTCTCTAGTTGGCTAGTTTGTCCACGTGACACACCGCCAATGTAAAGGCATATAAGGGGATGCAACAAAGGGATTCTCGCACTCTTCCAGGACTGAGCTCAGCTGGTGGTGTCGCATGTTAACGGTAAAATTGTATATTTGTACCGTGATAGTAGTAAAATCTGTAAATTCAACCGGTAGGAGGATCTGTGCCGCTTCTCTACCGGGAATATAGTACAACAGTTACTGATATTAAAATAATAACGCTAATAACCTAGAAGGTTATTAATAAATTTATTACAAACTTTGTTTTGCGTATGTGATGTCTTAATTATAAACTTTCATTACACATATAGAGTTTACATAACTTAATAACTTGAGACTTCCAACGCGTACACATGCGTTCGCCTTGTCTGTTAAAATAGCAGTTGTGAGTTGAATGATTGGTCCCCGACCTAGAACGCTGTAAATAGAAGGCATGGCCTACTAAATATTGCTAACATAAACAACATAACTAGAGTTACATGTGTAGGATAGAACAATGTTGTGGGATATAGTAATGAGAGGTACTCATTCAATACAACTCAAGTTGAGGGAAAATTACAACAATATAGATAATAGTAAAATTACATCAAATGCAGACAATAAAACTATGACACTTAAGGTCGATATTATAGATTTCTAGTTTTAAAATAATCAAATACCTTCTGTTAAGAAGCGATAATTCCTAATTTCTTGGACGCTTATACCCAGGGTGAGGGTTAGCGTGCAGGTGCGCTGAGCAAGGGCAGTGGTCGGGGTAGAAAGACCGAGTTAATCGGTTACCGGCCCTAATATCGCACCAGCGACGGGCCTGTCCCATAAGCCTTTTCGGCTTGGGATGAGTCACAATGTAGATCTAGCGACTGAACAGTCTAACGGGGGGGGGGAGAAGAGGGAGGAAGAGGTGGAGCACAGGGTGGCGGTAGAATCACATTACCGTCACACCCCCTTTCCGCGCTAAATGTTTTGCTAAAAGTACAACTTTAGCGGACTGAAGTAGCCGTCACAAAAAAATATATTTAGATAAATAAATGGTTAAGGCTATTACATGAAACGTCATAGCATGGTATAATGAGCTATAAGTAGTAACTACAAAGAAGTGTTCAACGGACAAAAAATTGTACATTAATATACGTTGTTGCTTGTATACAAGGTGATTGAATACAATACTGTGTTACCTTTACTATAGGCAAAATATAAGTGTGATAATTGTAGGTTATACATCTGAGTTCAACAGTGTAAAAGTAAGCTTATATACATAATAAGCAAGTGTCTTAATAATATCATCAGTTAACCATTTAGTAAAAGAAACAATGTTAACATACAAAATAAATTTAACAGTAATAATAGTAAAATACTAAACCGTTGGGGTGTACAAAACCAGATGAGTTATGCTATTATGCTGCAGTTATTCTGCTAAGGAACTCTGCCAACACATTTTCAGAGCCAGCAATAGGCTGGATGGTAAAGTGATATTCCTGCAGTGTCATGGCCCATCTAGCTAATCTGCTGTTGACAGGTTTTGAGAACTGAAGGACTGTAAGGGGTTTGTGATCTGTCTGGACAATGAAATGTGTGCCCCACAGATATCTAGAAAATTTTGTAATAGACCACACTAAGCCCAGAGCTTCCTTCTCAATAACACTGTAACGTGTTTCTCGAGGTAACAATTTCCTGCTAGCATAAAGTACAGGGTGTAACAGTCCATTGTGCTCTTGTAATAAACAAGCACCTATGGCATATGAGCTAGCATCAGATCTGAGGATAAAGGGTTTAGACAGATCAGGCAATGAAAGGATAGGTGAAGTAGAGAATGCCCCCTGTATTTCGTTGAGTGCCTCTTCACAAGCCCCAGACCAGACAACCCGGTCAGGTTTTCCCTTCTTAACCAACTCTGAAAATACACTTGTTATGTCAGCAAAATTAGGGATGAACGGAATTACATCACAGGCAGGAATAGTTTAGGTCAGATAAGTATTTAAATGCCCTGTGGGCTAAGGCACGGGCAGTGTAAAGTTAAGTAATTCAGGTAAGTCATCGACTAGCACAATGTAAAGTAACAATGTATAGTGTTTATGAAAAAATACATGACAGCAAGATAATATCTATATATGGTATTTATTAAAACTCCTTGATACACTGTTAATCAATTATGCATATAAAAAGTAAAGTTAAGTAAAAGTAAGAAATAACTAAGTAAAACCAAACCCAGAAAAACACGTGGAGGTCGGGCCGACGGCCCCAACGCCGCGTGCGACACCACCAGCTGAGCTCAGTCCTGGAAGAGTGCGAGAATCCCTTTGTTGCATCCCCTTATATGCCTTTACATTGGCGGTGTGTCACGTGGACAAACTAGCCAACTAGAGAGGGGCCTGCGAGGGGGACGAAAGATAGGAATGTACGTAGTTGTATAGAGGGGGGGGGAAGTATAGAGCAGGTAAGGGGTGGTGTAAGAATAACGTGGAGCTAGGCCTAAACGGTTTTACCGTCACACCCCCTTTCCTCGCTAAAATTTCGTGGTAACGCAATTTTCAGCGGACCAGAAATAAAACAATATCTTTTCATGTGTCTTTCAAAGTATAGTTAAGCACAAAATGTAAATAACAATGTCTTTAGACGAAAATTAATAACATTGAAACATAGGCCATTTACAGGCAAAATGAGTAAACATTGGCCATGATAGGCGAGTACAACATCAATTACAACATTGTGATATGCCATAAAAGGGCATAGTAAACAAACATTTTGTTGTGGATGTAAAGTGTAATAAGACAACAGTGAATAATGACATTTTTTTCAGTATAAGTTTACATTGTATTCAGAAAAATTAACTAACGCTAAGTTCTGTTTTAGAAGTATGACAACCAGGTACGCAGTAATTGACTGTGCTGTTAGTTGGGGACGATAAGTCTGATTCGGTCCGCAAGGGCGAGAACCAGTTTTTGGTGCTAAGGGTGATAATTGTAACTTGCTCTGTTGATTATCTACCCCTTGTATAGCTGCGACAGGTAATTCAGGACCGAGAGCGATCCTCCTCTTGTCGGCGAATTTTTTTCCATTAGCGAGGGGCTGGTGAGGTTTAGTATGTAGACCTATGGTGGGTAGAACCATGGGGCCGATAAGGTTGACAGTGGTTGGTTTGTTGTTTTGTCTCCTGGGCTCTTGACGTGCTGTGTAATTAAGGTCGACTGGAGCATCCGGTGCTGTGTTTATTGATGATTCAGTCGGGGCAGGGGAAGTAATTTTAACGAAGTCGCTTTTATGGCTCAGTGTAGCATCATGAGTGTTATCTTCTGCCTGTGGCAGGGTTGGTGTGTAGGGAGTAGCGGGTGTTGGTTTAGGTCCTAATATGGTCATGTTTTTCAGCTGCTCAAGCATTGCCTGCTCGGCCATCTTTAAGCGTGATTCCGTTTCGGTCCTTCTATTTATACGTCCCTTCCAAATAATAATTCTTTCAGCTATTGACACGCTGGTATTTTCTAAAACTTCGTCTTCTTGTTTTTCGATTGATTTGATACTATCCCATTCCGATCTTTCAAAATTATTGAAATTGATCTCGATAGCCACTTTAATTGCTTGTAATTTAATTTCTTCCTCCCACTGTGGCTCATTTAATCTTTCTTCCTCGTCTAATCTTCTACGTCCGTCTTCTTCCTGCAAGTCCGCTAAGTCCTCTATGTATTTTTGTCTAACAAATGCACTGAGTGCCGCCCCTTCGTGGCCATAGTCAATGGCGTACCTGATAAGGGCGGGGATGCTAGTGGAGCCACTCATTATGCAGCCTGGCTAGGACGTTGACACGAGTAACGTGACACGCGTGTGCTCAAGCCGTGTACCGGGTTACGCCTAACAACAAACTAACTAAAAGAAAAGTATTTGACAGACTAACAGAAGTAAGTCTATTCTACAAATAATAGACTACTAAGCTAACTACAAGAATTAAAGACCAGTTTAAAATTAAAACAAAAGGAATCAACGTAGTAAGTCAGAGTCAAAAGCTAAAACTTGACACTTAGCTACAATTCCAGTGGTCTTGCCCTTCTTGTGCAGCCGTCAGTTGTACAGAATACTTCTTGAGCAGGTAGCAATAACACACAGAAATATTTTTTTCCAAAAATTCAAAGTAAACAATAGCAGTAAAATTCAAATAGATATGTGAAACAGCAGGATTTATTCAAATACGAGTGGCTAACTCGTGTCTAGTATTTAGTTTGACGAGCCCCCATGTTAACGGTAAAATTGTATATTTGTACCGTGATAGTAGTAAAATCTGTAAATTCAACCGGTAGGAGGATCTGTGCCGCTTCTCTACCGGGAATATAGTACAACAGTTACTGATATTAAAATAATAACGCTAATAACCTAGAAGGTTATTAATAAATTTATTACAAACTTTGTTTTGCGTATGTGATGTCTTAATTATAAACTTTCATTACACATATAGAGTTTACATAACTTAATAACTTGAGACTTCCAACGCGTACACATGCGTTCGCCTTGTCTGTTAAAATAGCAGTTGTGAGTTGAATGATTGGTCCCCGACCTAGAACGCTGTAAATAGAAGGCATGGCCTACTAAATATTGCTAACATAAACAACATAACTAGAGTTACATGTGTAGGATAGAACAATGTTGTGGGATATAGTAATGAGAGGTACTCATTCAATACAACTCAAGTTGAGGGAAAATTACAACAATATAGATAATAGTAAAATTACATCAAATGCAGACAATAAAACTATGACACTTAAGGTCGATATTATAGATTTCTAGTTTTAAAATAATCAAATACCTTCTGTTAAGAAGCGATAATTCCTAATTTCTTGGACGCTTATACCCAGGGTGAGGGTTAGCGTGCAGGTGCGCTGAGCAAGGGCAGTGGTCGGGGTAGAAAGACCGAGTTAATCGGTTACCGGCCCTAATATCGCACCAGCGACGGGCCTGTCCCATAAGCCTTTTCGGCTTGGGATGAGTCACAATGTAGATCTAGCGACTGAACAGTCTAACGGGGGGGGGGAGAAGAGGGAGGAAGAGGTGGAGCACAGGGTGGCGGTAGAATCACATTACCGTCACAACGCCACAGCAACCTTAATCTTTAAAGAGAAACATAATCAACTTAGACTCAACATACACACACACAGACGGATAAAATGTATAAAAGCTAGCCTGTCTGGCTGTAAACTCAACAGTTTTCCCCACTGGAACGTAACACTCAGGTAATGACACATGCTTCAACAAAAACAAAAAAACAAAACTGGCCAAATCAGCTGTTTACCTGGGAGAGATAATTATATTGGTCAGCTTTCATAAGATGAAAAGCTTCCCTTTCCCGCTCGTCCGCACCTGCCAACAGGTAGTAAAACACGTGATAGTTCCTGCAGGGGGAAAACAAGCAGCTCATGTAGGTGTATACAGCTTGGTGTGGGAACAACGTGTGTACAACGTGTATATATATATATATATATATATATATATATATATATATATATATATATATATATATATATATATATATATATATATATATATATATATATAAGATTTTAATAAAACAAAGATAAAAATAAAGTAAATTTACAAAATAAAACAAATCTGTATTCTCTGGTAAAAGCATTGGTCGTGTCGTGAGAATGTGTGAGGGGTATAAAAATTGATGGCAGACACGCATTAGGTCTAGTTGGTGGACTATTGACATTCTGTTCATGACCTAAATTCTGGACACACATAACTTTGAAATGAAATTGCTATTGTGTTATTTTATATGTACATTGTATTAAAAACATTTTAGTAAGAGTATTGTTAAATTCATCGAATTCTGCATTTAAATAAGTACATTCATTATTCTTCAACTAGTTTTATTTGTTCATTGTGTAGTATTATAGTAATAGTTTAATCTGTGTTCTTATATTATCCGCTGCATTGTTCATATACTGGTGTGAATTGTTTATACGGTGTATTAAAAACCTCACAAAACTAATTATTAGAATTACTCATGGCACAGCACGATTAACGAGCGAAGGGAAATCACTCTGCCCCGTACACGGAAAAGTTGTCTGTCGCGGCGATGTGAACCAGGTCCCCGGCACGTGAGTGTCGTCATTTAAATGAGGATGCCAAGACATCCTGTATATTTATAGACGCGACTTTTGAGTGAGCGGTCGCCACTGTGTCTGCTCCTCGTTTACCTAACAGCTGAACGTTCAACATGCATGCACATAGTTGCCATAGTTATACCAGGATTTAGGTTGACTCCTACACCCTGTATCTGCTGACGCCTACACCAATACTGCTGACTCCTACACCCAATCTCTGCTGACTCCTACACCCAATCTCTGCTGACTCCTACACCCAATCTCTGCTGACCCATACAATCTTTGATGACTATTACACCCAATATTTGCTATGCCCAATCTCTGCTGATTCTTAATTAAACCCAATCTCTGCTGACTCTTACACTCAACCTCTGTTGACTACTACATCCAATCTCTGCTGACTCTCTGCTGAGCTCCAACATACGAGATTCAGATGGCTCTTAAAGACATATCCCAATAATCAACTTCACTGACGCCCACAAACTCCCAACCACTGACCATTTTGACTCCTAAAAACCATCCCACTGACTCACACTTACGGGGACCACGATAAGAACTAAAGCAAATACTTCGTTAACCGACTAACTTAGGTCCAACCACCACTGACCCTGCTGACTCCTAAAAACCATCTTGCTGTCTCACACTTGCGAGACCATGATAAGAATTAAAGCCAACACTTCGTTAACCGACTAACTTAGGTCCACCCATCTGTAACAACACAAGGCCGGCCAGTCAGCCGTCCTACCAACAACAAGGATCTTTGTTTACCATCCTGTTTCCCATCTACGCCGTGTGTTTTTCCCCCTAAATCCTTGTCATCGGGTCGTTAGGTCGCAGGATCTACCATACATCGGGCCTGACGTCAAGGCTCAGATTAAGGAACACCGGGCAATAAACTTTAAGCAACTTGCTTCCTCTTCCAACGTTCACGCCGTCTATATTATGGGAAGCGGAATATATCAAACTTCTTATGTTTACTAGTTTTTAGATGCTTTGCCGTCTCAGTGGCGAACAGAGTTTCTTCCAGGCATCTCTTCGGGGGGGGGGGGGGGGGGGGGGGGGGCGACGACCACAAAATGGAATTTATATAGAAATATATACTTTTGACAGTGTCCAGTGTCCGCCCCCCCCCCCCCCCCCCCCCCACCCGGAGAAAAAAAGTCTGGAAGAAACACTGGTGGCAAAGCTAGTCACAAGGGGTAAGGCCCAGGGATGTTTCTTTCAGGCATCTCACTCTCAGGGGATTACCGCCCTACTTCCCGGAGCATGCCTACAGCCCCCCCCCCCTCCATCCTCCTCCAAGGAAGAAATGAAAAAAAATATAGCCTAATTAATATATATTTTACACACAATGTCTAATCTCTAATTGTGTTATAGACACAAGATAAAGCCACGCCTCTGGTTTGTTTTCAGATAGTTTTAACATAGCCCCCCCCCCCCCCCCCTCCTAATGTAATCGTCTGCACCGATTTGAATTACCAACTTCCTGTTCCCATTGTACTTCCCTCCAACAATTTTAAAGATGTATCCAGAAACGGAATTCGCCCCTTTCCGGAACTGTACCGTTGTTATCTGCTTGAGTTTACATCCGTCTGGTATGGGTGGGTAGGTTGTTTTTTTTACACTACACCGGCGGGTTTTTCTCGCTGTTGACTGGCGACGTTTTCCTTAAGTAAACACCGTGTGATGCAATTATAGCCCTGGTGTTTGTGGTGCCCGTACCACGGGTTTATGCTGATGTTTTAGCGTGGATGTGTGTTGACACGGCAGCATCTGTGTGTGTGCAGACACAATAGGTTTGGGGTGTGTGCTGTTGTTACACAATGGATGTATTGTCCGTGATAGCATTATTATAATGCTGTAGCTATTGTATGCTGCCGATATTGAAGGGATGAGTATTGCAGTAAATACCACTAATGTATTATGCCGCTATACCAAATCAGCATTAGTAAATGTTGGGACTATTGTAGTAATGCATGTTGTAGATGGAGCAAGGATGCTTATAAATACCACTAATGTATTATGCCGCTATACCAAATCAGCATTAGTAAATGTTGGGACTATTGTAGTAATGCATGTTGTAGATGGAGCAAGGATGCTTATAAATACCGCTGATGTATTATGCCGCTATACCAAATCAGCATTAGTAAATGTTGAGACTATTGTAGTAATGCATGTTGTAGATGGAGCAAGGATGCTTATAAATACCGCTGATGTATTATGCCACTATAGCTTTAGTATATGCTGGGACTAATGTAATAGTAGTGAATGTTGCCGATACAGCATGAATGCTACCGTAAATACCACTAATGTATTATGCCGCAATAACATTAGTATATGTTGGGACTATTGTAACAATAATGCATGTTGCAGATAGAGTAAGGTTGCATATAAAAACCAATGGTGTATTATGCCGCCATGGCATTCTTATATGCTGTAGCTATTGTTGCAGTGATGTATGCTGCCGATATAGCAGGGATGAGTATTGCCGTAAATACTACAAATGTATCATGCCGCTATAGCTTAGTTTATGCTGGGACTATTGTAGCAGTCGGTGAGGTATGCTGCCGATATAGCAGGGATGAGTAGCCTACTGCCGTAAATACCACTAATGTATTATGCCGCTATAGCAAATTAGCATTAGTATTAGCTGAGACTATTGTAGTAATAATGCATGTTGTAGATGGAGCAAGGATGCATATAAATACCACTCATGTATTACGCCGCTATAGCGTTACTATACGCTGTAGCTATTGTGGCAGTAATACATCTAGCCGAAGTAGCAGTAATGAATGTTGCAGATAGAGCAAGGATGCATAAAAATACCACAAATGTATTATGCCACTATAGCGTTACTATATGCTGTAGCTATTGTAACAATAATACATGTTGCCGATGTAGCAGATGGAGTATGGCTGCGTGTTGCCGTAAATACCATCGACGCCTACTGCAACACCACGTACACCAAGGGTAGCGACACGTACGGGGGGTAATGTCTTCCAAAATGTCACACTCGTCGCCAACATTAACCCGACACAATGCGAGCCTAACTCGGATGGTTTTATCTCAAATGTCAAACGTTGAGTGCCGGTAAACAGTATCCACCCACAGTTTAATGAATGCACGGGGTGGTGGGGGAGGGTGGGGTAGATAAGGCAGGGAGGGGGACAATGAAAAGAGATCAAATAGAATATTTTCTAAGTAACGAAGCCAGGGTTTAGAGATGATGATGGGGATATACAATGGATGAGAATGTCGCTTTGTTAAAAAGTGTGATGAGGGGAAGGAACGTGGTAACTATAGAGGAGGGGGGGGGGGCAGCTAAAAAACGATAAGAGAATGGAACTTGATAACTATGATTGAGGGAATTTGATAACGTAAAGGGGAGGGAATTTGATAGCAATGCTCATTTGGATTAGGGGAGAAAAATAATCTTTAAGTGGGGTTCTTTACTTGAGTGGACGGCGAAAACGAGATAACTGTCTTAGATTTTTCTTAATACTATTGAGAGACTTTATATTCACACTTGCAATACTTTCGTTAAAGAAAAAAACGTCCGGTTACATTTAAACCTGTTATCTACTGTGCAGGGAAATGAAAATGTAAAAATTACAAATAAATTAAGTTCACGTTAAAATAGAGTTTATAACGCTAAAGCTGCAGTCAGTAAAATGCTTACCTTTCATTCTTTGCTTGAAACACAATTCTAGATTTCTCCAAGAGGTATTTCTCCACGATAGCACTGGAAAAAGAAATGAGACGTTTAGAACGGGAAATTGTAATGCGACGTACAGAAATATGAATAACAACAGGTAGTACATAAAATAATATATCGTACATATTTTAAGAATATATCTTATGAGATCATCCAGCTCTGTAGGAACCTAGTTAAAGTCAAAGTCAAAAGCTTTCTAATGAGATGTAAATTACAATGTGTTAAGCAAATGCTATTGTGGTGTATGCAAACCTAATATATCTAGAGAGTCAAAGTTTATTCTTTAAGGTATATCGCCATCTATATAAATTTCCGTACATAAAAATGAAAGCGGACAGGGAAATGAGAAAATTATGTTAGGTGCAATTTTAAGACGTTACGGACAGGTACACTGATTATGGGAATTTGGTATTTAAATTGGTGGTGTGATCAACGCTATGCGTAAATTTTCACACTCTGGTCAGGCACCCATAGGCCAAAGGAACTGGCTACAGGCAAGAAATTATAGAAAAAAAACTCATTTCGTGGGAACCGAACACAAGCTTTTATGGATAACAATCGTGCGCTCTATCCCTCCACCACGATCTCCCTATCTGACAATAAGTTCAACATTGTTTACATTTAAATAACTTCATGCTAGACGAAAAGATCACACGTCGAAAATACCAATGGGTAACGAGCTCATGTAACCCTCACTTTGGTGTGTGGTAGCGACAAGATCGCAGCAACGCGCGACGGGTACGCTGGTATATAAATAAAACCCAGATTTACAAATCGTTATTTAATTGCTTGTTCACAAACCACCTTTTTTATTTAATTCACCTACCCAGCTAAGACAAAATTTATGAAACATAAACATTGATTCGATCATCAGCTGTATCTATGTCATAAAACATGTCTTTACAGCCATGCTGGCCCATTTTATTCCCACAGCCGCGGTAGTTGTGTGAATAGTTCATTTGCCGGATTGTGTTCCCGCTGAGCAATTTCTCAACTCATCACTTTCACAGGGTGTGGTCCATTTGAATTTGAACCGTGCCTGCACTTGAGCGTGCTGCATGCTTGACGGGGATATGTGCTACGGGTAGGGGCAGGCTCTGGTTGTTGTGTGGGTTTATGTGAGGGATCATGTGAGGGGGGGGGGGGTATATGGGAGGGAGAATGTGTGGTGGAGAAAATGTGGGGTGGATGTGTGGAAGAGCATATTAGGGAAATTGTGGGGAAATATGTGGAGGGGGGAGGTTGTGCGGGGGAGCATGTGGGGGGGAGCATGTGGGGAAGTATGAGAGGGGTGGGGAAGTATGTGGGGGAGGATGTGCGGGGGAGAATTTGTAGAGGGGAGCATGTGTGACTAGGTGTGTGTTGGGAGCGTGTGGGGGGAGAAAGTGTGGGGCAGCATGTGGGGGAGCATGTGTGGTTTGAGTGTGTGTAGAGCGTGTGTGGGGAGAGCATGTGTGGGGGAGTATGTGTGGGGGAATATGTGGGGGAGTATGTGTGGGGGAGTATGTGTGGGGGAATATGTGTGGGAAGAGCAAGTGTAATGACGAGCTATGAATTAGTGATATACTACATTAACAGCAGTAACGACATGTAGGCCTATAGTGCATGGTGTAAGTTGATGTTTTGATGCAGCGGTATGGAGCAGAGATTTATGGCGTGATGTTTCGTGAGATGAGTTAGTTTTATATACTGAGATGACATTAGGTGTATGATATACAGTGGTGGTCAAACACTTCAAGATATAACCTCAAGATATCATTGATTATGCAGCTTTCTTCAATGTCCTGAATCAGGTAAACAGAATCAAGCGTGCGCTTAATCAGATAATTATAACAGCTTAATGAGATAGTTATAACGGAATCAAGAACGCACTGAATCAGATAAACATAATAAAGCGTATAACAGAGTCAAAAATGAAGAGTGCACTGAATTAGATAAACAGACCATAATGGTGAGCGCCCTGCATTTGATCAACGATTCGACCAAATCCAAATGCGGAAACAGTTTGTCAGCAACGGAGAATGTGTATAAATCTCCGGGACTATGTGAAGAGGGGGTCTCGCCCTCGCAATGTTTACATGCATGCTGAGATTACGCGTATCTACACCCCTAGCACCCCACCCCCACCCCTTCTGTCTCAGGGGAGCAACGGCAACTGCATGTACCGCCCATCCCCCGGCATGACAAACCCATGTCTGGTCGTACGTGCGGTGTGTGAAACGTCTCCATCATAAGGTAAATAAACATGGACAGGTTCTACGCGTAAAGAATCGGGTATATTTCACAACTGGGGTACAACTTTGATAAGGAGTTTCTAGCGTAAAGAATCGGGTATATTTCACAACTGGGGTACAGCCGTGATAAGGGGTTCTACTAATTCTAGCGTAAAAAAGGTTTATACTAATTTAAACTTTTTTTTTACAATAAAGCGAAACAAAATTTGTAATTAAAAGAAAGCGAGGCGTGATCCATTTCTTTAGGAATATATTTTTTGTTCTTATTAAAGCGACAATGCAACAGTCTTGCTAAATTATGGTCTGACATTCAGGAACCTTTCACTGAAATGAAAGCTATTAGTTGTTAGCAGCGAACCGGGTACAGCCTGGATCTCGTGCATCAAGAAGAGAAAAAAAAAAAAAAAGATATTTCGTTATACACGTGGGTCTCTGAAAGGTCATCGCAATGCATGAATAAGCAGGGTCGAGCAGGACTTGGGAGTAGGGGGGGGGGGGGGGGGGTTGACCTCGCGTTTGACTGCTCGCTCTTTTGTTTCAAATCTGTGTACAAAGCTGCAACACAAGAAATAAACAAAGCCCCTCCCTTACGGCTCTGTCAACACAAAGATTTCGGCCGTGCAGGGACAACAGCGCGTACTTTTTTTAACATCCCAAATGAGATAACGTCATGAATAAAACAAACAAAAGGAAACACGGATATTCAGTAAGTGGCTTATTTCATCCACTTTAACCCCTCCTGATATGTAGAGCAATGATGTGTAATTTTAATGTGGAGTAAAACAAAATTGTTTGATATGCCGACTACCCTTAAGTTCCTGACGGTCAATATGGATGATGAAGTAGAGCTCATGTGTCTGTGACTACGGCACAAGACATGGCCGGCTTTACTTTTGTCTAACATGAATCTGGGTACCCACCAGGGCTGGGTGGAATCTTGGACGTCCAACATCCGAGCTCGTGAGTTTTACGAGCTCGTAAAATTTTAAAGCAGTCGACGCAAGCGCAGTGAAGCATAGTCGCAACAATCAAGTGTGACGTATCCCACAGGAACACGTCCATGTTTGTATTACGTCATCTCATAGTCACAAAAATCAAGTCTGACGTATCCTACAGTGTATTACGTCATCTCATAGTCGCAACAATCAAGTGTGACGTATCCCACAGGAGAACACGTCCATGTTTGTATTACGCCAGTTTTGTGCAACCATGCGGACACGCCTAACTTGTATTGCTAATGTAACAATCTGCTCATAAAAACATTCATAAAAACATCACACAAAACCCACGCGCCCACACTCAAATCGGGTATTCTTTTTTTTTTCGCCTTGCTGTTTTGTTTTGCTGTTGTTTTTTTTTTTTTTTTTTTTTTTGTTTTTTTTTTTTTTTTACTGAGCGTATTTTAATTAACATTAATGAAAATTTAAATGTAAAACAATGTATTCCAAGTAGCAACTGTATTTAAAGCGCTATTTATTTTTTACATGTTATCATACAATCCAGTATGGCAATCGGAAGAGTTTTATCTGGCACGTACGCTAACGGCGGTATGTATGCACGTGGGCGAACAATCGTACACGCACTCCAAGCAAATTAAGAGTACTTGATTACACCGTCTGTGGCCTAATTGAGCAACAAAAACATAAACAACATGTATTCAAATAGCTAGACAATGTTGTACGATCCAGAAATTCCTGTACCGATTCGCTAAATTACAGTACAGTGTAGGCTTATAGGAAAAGAAACGTTAGTTGATTTTTTACTAAGTTAAAAGGAGGTTAAAATAGGTGTATAGAATACAGCTTTTATGTATATTAATCTACCCCAAACAAAAATTTCAAGACGAGTATAATGAGATTTCGTATCCCCCTTGCCATCACCCCCTCCCCACTTTGCTTACACCTAGGATAAAGACAAACAGCATACCGGTCTAGTACACATAAGGTGCGCATTTCAAACGCTTTTCACCACCCCCTCCCCTTACAAACACATCATTCTCCTCCCTAATGTCTCAAACTGCATTAAAAAAATCCAACCTAGTCCTGATATCAGGCGGCGCTGAGAGATAACATGACACATACAACATGGCCGATATGATAACAAGCTCCAATCTCTCCACCATCCATTATGGGAACTCTTGTTTTTACCGGCGACACTGACGCGTGCCTACAAACACGGACAAGATACCCACCATCGCCATCTCTACCCCAGGCTCGCTCCCTAACCCATCGTCATACGCCTCCCCCCCCCCCCCACATTACACGTCCCTGCCCGTTCGTCATGCGCCCCACCCCACCCACCCCCACCATTACACGCCTCAACCTTCCACACACACACACATTACATGACCCAACCCCTCATCACACACCCCCCAACCCCCTACACACCCCACCCCCTAACGCCTCATCACACGCCCCCCCAACGCCTCATCACACCCCACTTTAAACTCCCACTCCATGTTCAGCTATATTTAACGCAATTAAGACGTTTTCAAAACGCTATCAGAATGCCGGGGGGTAGAGAGAGAGAGAGAGAGAAGGGGAATTTAAAAGAGAGCCAGGTATTCTCTGGAAACCGTGGGATACAGTTCCCATCCACACCTGACAGGTATCAGCGGCTCTGTGATTCATGTTAAGAGCCTGTGTGGTTGGCGCTCCGGGCTGTATACACCGGGGGAAGGGTGATAGTCTACAGGGTGCACGTTCAAACAAAACAACACCAGACGCTTCTCTATGGCCAATTGGCGGGGTTTTTTTTTACGTGTTAGAGATATAGTACGGGCAATTGTTGATT